TTAGGCTGCACTCATGTCGCAGCCTCGCAAAGAGTGGAGCATCATCTCTCCTACACATCATACGCACGCACGAGGTGCAAGTAAAACCGAATGCGGTAAAACAAATAGCCACCTTAGTTCGAACATTGCACACACACGCACACGTATATATATATATATATAATTATATATATATAGTATTATTCTTTGAATCACAGAGAGGGAGAGAGAGAGAGAGGGATATATTAATGTATATATATATATTTCTTTGGCTATTTATCGAAGGAAGTTTCGAAGTCAATCTTTCGACGAAAAGGACAGATGAAGCAACAGAGGTGGGAAGAGTCAGAGAAGAGAAAGGAAGAAGAAAGAAGAGCAGAGAAGAGAACGAGTCAGAAGAAAGAAGAGGAAAGCGCGCGAAAGGGTAGGAAAGTCGCGAAACACTGTGCTTTTTAAATGTTTTGTGGCTCTGGAGGCTCGAAAGGTAGGCTTGCTAAAGCGGCGGGTGCGGCGACATAATATGGTAAGATGCAAGATCGTAAATTGCACGCTGTGGCGCGAAGCAGATTTTAAAGTCAAAATGCTCAAAACACCTCGGTCCCTGACCGCTTGGAAGTTGAGATGTCGAAAAAGTGCACGCAGCTGTGGCGCAAAGCACATTTGCAATTCGAAAGGCGCAAAACACACCATTCTCGGAGCATTTTTGGAAGTTGAGATGTTGAAAATACGCCGTTGTGGCGCGAAGCACACTTGCAACCCGAAAGGTACAAAACACACCATTCCTGGAGCACTTTTGGAAGTTGAGCTGCTCAAAAGTGCACGCGGCTGTGGCGCGAAGCACGTTTGCAAGTCAACATAGTAAATAGTAAACTTTGGACCACTTTGGACATTCAAATTTCGTTTTGTGTGGCAGGCGCAATGGATTCTGCACCTTGTCAGAAGTGGACCAAACGTGTGGGTTTTGCGGCCGTTTCAAAAACGATGGCAGGCGTGGGACGTCTGAAGAGGATCTGCAAAGATGCATTTTGCGTGGCAAGCGCAGTACAAGAGACACATGAGTCAGACATGTTAGGAGGTCAGGGTGCTGATTTCCTGACGGGGGTTGCATTTTGGAGCATCAGATTTTCAGGTTTGCTAAGATGATTTTGCGTGACAGATGCGGCACTTCGTATGATTTGGCTTCACTTTTTCGTGCCAGGCACAGTACTTTGGACACATGGAGTGGAAAAAACGCAAAACGCAACGAGGCCGTCAGTTTTGCACTCGGCTGTCCATTTTTGAAGGAAGTCTCTCAGAATTGCTTGGTTTTTGACGTTGTCAATTTCAAAAATGGAGGATGTCTCGCAGAATGTCTTCGTTTTGAAGCCGTGAACTTTCACTTTTTTGAGGATGTCTTGTCGGATTGCTTCGTTTCAGATAGATAGACAGAAAGATAGATAGTTAGTTAGTTAGTTAGATAGATAGATAGATAGATAGATAGACAGGTAGATAGATAGACAGATAGATAGATAGATGCAGACAGACAGACAGAGAAAGACAGACAGATAGGTAGGTAGGTAGGTAGGTAGGTAGGTAGAGGATAGATAGATAGATAGGGGGGAGAGAGGGAGAGAGAGAGACAGAGAGAGAGAGTGAGAGAGAGTGAGAGAGTGAGAGAGAGAGTGAGAGAGAGAGAGAGACTCAAAGCTTCAGCCACCTTTCAGTCCATCATCCATGAATCACAACAACTCACTTCTCCCGCAGGTGCCTTGTGCGGCACTACTGCAAATCTAAGAAAAACTGATGGCGAGAGCTGTGTCGCATTGTCACTCCACGATTGCCGCCGCGAAAAAAATTATGGCGTGTTTGGCGGGAGATGGGGCTTCCGGGGAGTGAGGGACCAGTGGGACTTCACGTATTTTGGTTTATGACATTTTTTTTTAAGGTGGAACCGTAAAATCCTACTAAAATAGCGGCGATTTTCTTTTCAATCTCTTTCGAGGTATAAAGAGTGGAATGAACCAACCAACCATTAAAATGCTGATGTTGCTGGTTGGTTTAATCAACCAGCCTCTGCTAAAACCGATTGGAATCAATTCCCAAACGGCGGCTTGAATTGTAAGCAATCTGGGAGGATTTCCAGACTGGAGATGATTTTCTATGGGTTTTCCATGGGTTTTTCACTGCCGGAACCGGCCCTTTGGTTCCTTCACCATCGGGACCCTCACGCAGGGTTGAGATGGCGTGTAGCGAGTTCTGGGCTTGCAAGGCTTGCCAGGCCGGGTTTGCGGTGTCCATACGACGTGGGACCTTGGCCCTGGTAGGTGACGTGGGGTTTGCCCCAAAATGGGGCATAGACATTGTCTATGGGGATATAAAATGAGCTATCATGGGGCTGGAACGATTTGTGTAAAAGAATGGGAACGATTTTGCAACCAACAATATGAGATGAGGCTGTTTAAACGACATAAGACGACATACTGGGGAGACGGTGTGGTTCTCCACCAGGCAGAACATAGTAATTTGCCGTCATGTTGGCAGGATCTGACTATTCTATCCTTTTTGGGGGGTTCCTATGGACGAAAACGTTCGAACGTTCTGCCAGGTCGCGGGGAATCTGCATATCATACACAGACATATGTGACATATGGGGGTTTCCCAAATTATGGGTACTCCAATAGCTGAATGGTATATATTTATAATTGGATGATTTGGGGTACCCCCATTTTATGAACCTCTGGTAATCAAGAGTGGCAATGGAAAATCCCTATAAATGGAGGTTTCTGGCTGGGAAAAATATCTATATGATTAATATGATGGATTTTCGATTGCCACGTTTGATTACCGAAGGGTACTGTTAACCTCAGTTTATTCATATGTGGGAATCCCCCAATATAGTGAGTTCATGTGATTTCCTTTAATCAATTGCACCCCCCAACAGATTATAACTTATAACTATAAATTGCACCCCCCAATTAGTAAACTAGGGGTTTATTGATCCTGGGCTGAAATTAATGATAGTGCACACATGCACAGATCGACGATAGAAACATATAGTACCACCCCAAAAAAGATGGAAAAATCATTTGACAACATTTTCATAGGCTTTTACTGTTTCTATATCTTTAACACATGCAGAGCTCCATAGTATTCCCAGCAGGTGCGCTACGTGCTGGGCTGTACCTGCCTTCTACTCTTCGTGATTGGTGCCAGCCCGACGCTGCCCCCCCGTTTTCCCCAGGATGTAGACTGAGCAGGGACCAGGTGATCCTGGTTGACTGATTACAACGGGGGGGTTCTACTACCCAATATTAAAGGCGATTATATGTATATTATTATATAATGCCACACACACATGTGTATATATATATAAATAAAGATACATGAACCTACCTATATAAAGAGGATGACAGAGGGTTTTGAACACTGCTCAGGTGTTTCTTTGGGGATTGCACTCGCTCAAAAAGAATGATGGAACCTTGCTAATCGTATGGGTTTGTTCATTATTTTCCCGATTTTTATAGGCCCAATGAACCGAATTATCAATGTTAGTTTGGACATGGAACCCACATGTTCTGAGTTTTTTTTTTTCTCTCTCTCTCTCTCTGTGCTGGACATCGTTTTTTTGGGAACCATGTCAAATTCCTGCAGCGCAAATTCTATTTGATGGCTAGAGCTTTTGGGACTTCTACTAAGATTCTAAACATTTTGGAGGCAATCGCAATGGTAGGAGGGGATGGTCCGCAGCCTATCTTGGCTTCAGTGGGCCGGTGGCCTGGGCGCTCAGCGCTCCAGGCTGGAGCAGAGAGTTGCGAAGCTTTGGGCGAATTTGATGCTTTGATGTCCTGTCATGATATTTCATGATATGGCTATGGATCAATACCTATAAGTACCATTTTTAGTGGGATTAACATCCATTTACCAGCTATTTTGATGTTCACCAGGGGTACAAGGTTTTGACACACTGCCATATGGTGGATGGTTGCGAAATCCTGCACGAGTTGATAGGCGGTTTCTCATGGTTTCATCCGGTTGGTGATGCAGGATTTCGCAACCATCCACAGTAGTTCATCACATTCCATGATGTTTCAGAAATTCATGATATTTCGTGAGCATGAAGTTCAGTCTCAACTCCGCTGAAGTCTGCAATTTCTGGTAGCTGAGTGGCTGATATTTTTCCCGTTCAGAGGATCCCATGCTCCCATGATCTCCCATGCTACACGATGACCTCTTTGTTCGCAAGGCTTTGGCCCAAACGTGATGATGTCACTGGCACCGTGATAGTGACGTGAATGTGATGATTTGTGATGGTGATAGTGTATGATTTTGTATCTCCAAAAAGTCAGCTTTTAGTGGAACAGATTCACTGCAGTGACCCGGTGGCCCTTCGGGTTGTCCACCACGCGTCTTAGCAGCGCGGCTGCTCCACGATCAGCGGCTGCCAGGCTGGTGAATAGTCCCATGGTGATTGATACTCCCCCTACATTCACTGGGGAGCAGAGGGTCAATCAACAGTTGTCAGTCGTAGTGAAGTAATCCCATGCCCCTTGTATTACCCACTGGTAATTTAACATAACTATTGAAAATCACAATTTTTAATGGGTAAATCAACTATAAATGGCAATTTTCAATAGTTATGTTAGTTTGCCAGAGGGTTGATAATGTACCATTACCAAAGTTTTGTGATCCTGGTGGAGAAGAACCAGAATGATTCATAAATTCCATCCCCCCAGCACTAATTGCCAGACCATTGCCAGATAGTTACTTTGATGGTCATTAACCAACCCACACAATCAATTATGAGATCCCTGATGTTCCAGTAGTAATCCTATCATGCATGATGGGAAATGTTGGGAACGGGAATCCTCCCTGAAAATAGCATTTAAAACCATCTTAAATCAGCATTGGCAATGAATCCATTACAAAAGTACCCCCAAAAGATGCTGAACAGTATTTCCAGGATGGTAGAGATGATGATTTCCCTAGATGTCCCCATAAATTTCATACATTTTCCAGGTCTTCAACCGGCAGGTCTTGCCCCAATGGCCGCTTCGGTTGGCCGCGCCAGCGGTCACGAGGCTGGCGCCGGCTTTGGGAGAGGCACCTTTTCAACGCTGCTGCAGCAGCTGGCGAACTTCAACGAGGCGCAAGAACAAGAGACTCGGCGATGTCTAAAGGGTTACCCTTCGGGAATGAGTCACATGGTGTGCTGGAAAATCCGGAAAATGCCTCATTTAGTAATTTAGTTCGATGACTTCTCAGCTCTAAGCCTCCATGGCTAGTTCGGGGATTGTCCAGCCAGCCACGTTTGGTTACCAGAGGGTGTATAAAACAGCTGGGGAAAGGATCAAAATAGACTCTTTGACATGGAAGAAAACTTAAGGTATATATCTAAATTTGGTTGAGAAACTTCTTTGGACAAATATCCATAGACGGTTGTCCGAGAGGTTTCAGACGCACAACTGGGGAGTTCGCGCAGAGGAACATGGCAGTTCGCCTACCAGACATGAAGATGTAAGCGGCAAAAATTAGGGCCTTACGGTGCCAGCCAAAATGGGCTAGGAGATCTAGGAGAATGATGGAGAATGGGTCAGCACAGAGTTGCTGCTTCGGTGAGCATTCAATGTTGCACAAAAGCTCTATAATATAGCTTCCTTTGCGTTCAGGGTTTGATTTTTTGTCCACCGGCCCCAAGCGCGCAGCCCAAAGGCAACATTGAAATTTGGGGATGCGGGGGCGACAACAATACAGCAGGGGTTTGATTTCATCGTCCATCTACGGTAGGAAATGGTGCCTTTGACTGTAAACATGTTGGTCCACATAGGCGGTTATATCAATAACCAAGCTGGGGATGACAATAATCCATGGATATTCATGGGAGTGGGACACGAGGTCCATAACCCGAGTGATGGCAAGTTCACTATTCTTGGTGTTAATGTCATTACATATTCAAGTGGGTTTACCAGTTACAAGTACGGCTTTTTGCCCGCCAAATCAATCCAAATCATGATTTGGGTACATTGAGCAGACGGCTGTTGGTTGCTACTGGGGACATTGGGTCAGCTGATATTGCGCCCAGCATGCTGTACCTTGGTTCCCCTAATTTTGGTAGGTTCAAACCCGCAGCTTGATGTGAACATCCAATGACTTCAGCTCAAAAGATCATCCTCCCATTTGATCTTTGTTTGGTATGGATGAATGAACCAAATGCCCGAAGTTCAAGCTGGAACCCCAACATGTTCCTATTCCAAGAATTCATTTAAAACATCTAGCTGCTCAGTGCCGATTTTCATGCTTTTACCGAACCAGACCCAACGATACGCCCCCGATGGATCACAAATTTCAGCTGATTTCCGGCGGTAGCCTATATAATCGTCCCATAAATTCTACTGATATGGCAGTCAAAACCCTGGGACCCGGTAGCCTAGCTGGTTAATGGATGTTGATTCCCGCAGTCACATGGCCATAGGCTTTGACCCAATCCCACACAAGGTGGTGCCCCTCCAGTTATAAGTTGGTTTATAAACCATAGTAATTATAGATATAACCCCCATAAACCCTAGTTGGACTTATGTTCACCAACTTAGCTATCTTGGGGGCACCACCTTGTACTGTATTGGCGAAGTTAACACAGGATGGGGCCCCCAAGATAGCTAAGTTGCCTTATAAGTGGCTTAACTATGCTTAACTATGTTTTATGGTAGATATAACTGTAGTTAATGGTGGTTATCATGGTTTATAAACCAACTTATAACTGGGGGGCCCATCCTGCATCAAGTTGCATCACCCTTTTTTCGGGTTCCACGCCCTTGGCCCGAGGAGATCTTTCGGTTGAGGAGCCTTGGCCGCAACCCACACCAAACTTGAGGACGAGGAAGTATGGTCAGATATGGAGACGGAAGATAAGATATAAAATAAGTAGAATGGGAATAAAATCGACGTGGATACCTAAATGTATACAGACCTATATATAATATAATATATATATATATTATATTATATTATAATATACAGTATGTAGTATAATGTGTATATATGGTCCGATGTCTCGTGTTCACGCCCCCCCCCCCACCCCATATTATGGTACGGGGGGTTACGCCCGCCCCACCCCTCGCCACCACATCCACAGGGGAGGGATACATAGACACACGCATATACACATACATATACATACTGTATACATTTGCACATGCACATACTACATACGTATACACACATATATATATATGTACATAATATATATATATATATGTACATTATATATATATAGAGAAACATGTCGTGTATATATATATATACATATTTGTTGACACTACTTACATCTACCTACACATATATATATATATGTAATATTGTAATTATATCTCTTACATATTATACATATGGACCATCACCATCGGGGGAGGGGGGGACCACAAGACGCTGGGGCACACACACACATATATATATTTAACTCGCACACAAACACACACTGTATCGCATTATATATAGCTATAATTATATATACTGTATATTTTAACACGCACACACATATATATATAAATATATATAAATATATATATATATATAGACATATTTATAACATACATATACACACATATACACATATATATATATATATATGTATGTATGTATATATATATATGTATATATGTATTTATATATATATATATATATACGCACATAATATAGTATACAAACACACATACTGTACACACATATATATATATATGATACACCCACACACACATATATATATATAATGTACATATACATATGTATATATATATATTTATCACATATACATATATGTACGGCATAGCGAAGCTTTTGACGTCAGGTCCCCCGCCCCGACTTTCTCGATGGGCAGCCAAAGGGATGTGGCTTTTAGCAGTGCTTCAAACCCAAGATATCCCAAAATCCAGCAAGACAGCCCATGGAAATCACTATGAGGCATAGTAACCCACAAAAAGATCGAACAGTACTTTACCACTATTCTAGTAGGGTTTCACTTTTCTATTTTTTTGGGGGTGCTGGTTGCTATGAAATATGGTAATCACATTGGATGTTCCATTGCTTTGTCTTAGGAGGGAAGTGGCTGCACGTACGTCGCCTCCTGCTGAGGTGCCCAGGGGAGCAGGGTTTTCTTTTTCTGATCCAATAGTTATAATTTCCCCCCCGCCCCCTGAGACCTCAGTGGCAGTTCGCTGGCTCTTGACTGTATCACTCGAACCTGCCATGCTTGCTATTACACGCATGTAATTGTATATATACGGTACATATTGGTTGACTGTAAAGGGATTATAGCACAGGTTAGTTGATCGACAAGGTAAATATCTATTTTTCACAACCAATAGGCAAGTGATGGCAACTGATACTAGGGTTTTATTATCCCCCGAAGGCGACATCAAGTTGCAACTCAGAAGTTTCGAACAAGAAACCGAACACGTCTCCAAAGATGATGGAGCACTGGCCTCCAGATGAAAAATCATGGCGGAGAGGAACGTGTTCATGAAACTTTGAAAGTAATTCCTCTTCACTCTTTTGATGCCATTATATGCCGAACTGAGGTGGAACGGTGGAACATTTGAAGACTGAATTTACGTCACGTGCAAATGTACTAACAAGATCTAACAAGTATCAACAAGGTTAAACTATGCCTATGACTGGCTCCAGCACCACTGGGGTTTGCATCCAAGTTAGATGCCGTGGTCAATTTCGAAGGGGATGATCTTGAGAAGACCTTGGTATCTTTTTTTTTTACTGGGAATATGATCTATGTATACTAAATTAGCATACCCATCTTACAATTTTTAAAATGCCCTTTCTTGATTGACATATATTAAGTGACCCAACATAGTCAGAACCACAGCTGCGAAGGATGCCACAGACAGCGAGGCACGAACCAACCGAGTCGCTTATTTTTTCCACAATAGCAACCCCAGAAAAGATAGAAACGTTTCAAACATGAGAATACATCATCTATAGCACCCTAGAAATACATTCTCGTTTTTGGGGTAGGGAGAGGGTTGCTATAATATACAATATTTTGGGGGGTATGAACATCCATGTGCAACCTATTTGATGAGCAGAAGGCTGCCGACCCACAGCCATTTGGCTTTGTCTGAAAATAGGGTACCCCTTAGTACTCACCAAATCCAGCCATCGATCATCAATCGTACCTATCAAAATTGCAATGTTGGGGTATGCCCGGTTTTCAGACAAACCATTCAGACATGGCTTTATCTGATGGATTTTGGGGAAGCCTTGCATTGTGTCAATGGTGATTTTCCAATTTCACATGGCCACTTCGGAGGTCATACCGGGTATGAGGAAGGCATTCTGTATGACATGGGGCCATAGGGGCGGTGGGGCTCGACCACCAACCCATCAAAGACCGGGTAATCTGCAGGAAAACTTGAGATTTTGACTGGTGAAAACCGCTGATTTTCTTTCACAAGTCCATTTAGGTTGATGATCACCCGGCAGAATTTGTGCTGGTAACACCTTCCAGCATGTTTGCTGATTGAAGTCCCATTCATGGGTGTACCCTCTGGTAATTTAACATAACTATGGAAAATCACAATTTTTAATGGGAAAATCCACTATAAATGGCAATTTTCAATAGCTATGTTAAACTACCAGAGGGTAAGTCTGCATTTGTCAAGGAAGTGCCCTTTGAGCGTTTGAAGTTGGAAGAGGCAGGGATTCGGCACAGGGGACATTCACCAAGAATGATTGATTTCGGTGGTTTCAGCTAGCTGCTATATAGCTGGTTTAATCATGTTTAACCAGTCATTGGATTAGTTTAAGGGAAAACCTACAGGAAAGCCCCATATTTAATGAGGAAATCTATGGTTTCCTGTAGATATTCCCTGATTGATTTTCAAGGGAGTTGACAAGAATGGAGGTACAACTAAACAAAAAGTGGAGAAAACAAAAAGATCTAAAGTCGGGGGTCATATGCCATTATGATCCCCCTTACCATTTCCACTACTAAAAGGGTGAACACGTGCTTGGTACCATCCTCTGATTCGTGGATAATTCAAGCAAAAAAAATGGACCCGTGCACCAGTTTTTGTAGTAAAAGGGTGTGCACTGTATCTTGTAGCGGCGTTCCATTTTACACTCATAAATCGGAAACGCATTTTGTAGTGATTTATTTTGGGATGCGTTGTCTCGTGCCGGAAACCCTATAGCCCTCTTTTACCAGTCATGCTCGGTCACATGAACATATAGCTTGGACCCTCAGACCATTTTTGGCTCTTGACTCACGATTATTTCGTGGTAAGATGAATTCCCACTAGAAAAAAAACAAATAAGGTAGAGACTTTAAGACGGAAAAATCGGACAGACTTGGTTTCAAAACCCATCAATTGAATTTGAAGTTGTGCGCTCAGATCGTTTTTAGCTCTGACGATTGCAGTTCAAAACCTCTGCGCCGTGCTTTTGTCACACCTTTTTTGGCCATCACATGCGATTGCTAAATAAAATCTAAATCTATCCCATTCTACTAGGTTCCTGCTCTTTTTGTCCAATAGTCAAGTTTCACCCCAGTTCAACGAATCCATGCTCAGAGTTCCTTTCACCCACAATGTCACAAAGCACAGATTCGATGCGTGATGTCCTAGTTTCTGGATGACTTGTGTCATGCACTGCATTTTGTAGTGACACACGCGTGCACAACCTTTTGTAGAACCTTCTGCGCCCCCCTCCAGATAAGCCCCAAAAAGTTCGAAAAGCATGCTTTTTGTGTAGAGACTTTAAGAAGGAAAAATGGGACCGATTTGGTTTCAAAACCAATCAATTGAAACTAAAGTTGTGCGCTCAGATCGTTTTTGCTGCCCCATAGCTCTGACGATTGCAGTTCAAAACCTCTGCGCCGTGCTTTTGTCACATCTTTTTTGGCCATCACATGCGATTGTTAAATAAAATCTAAATCTATCCCATTCTACTAGGTTCCTGCTCTTTTTGTCCAATAGTCAAGTTTCACCTCAGTTCAACGAATCCATGCTCAGAGTTCCTTTCACCCACAATGTCACAAAGCACAGATTCGATGCGTGATGTCCTAGTTTCTGGATGACTTGTGTCATGCACTGCATCTTGTAGTGACACACGCGTGCACAACCTTTTGTAGAACCTACTGCGCCCCCCTCCAGATAAGCCCCAAAAAGTTCGAAAAGCATGTTTTTTTTGTAGAGACTTTAAGAAGGAAAAATGGGACCGATTTGGTTTCAAAACCAATCAATTGAAACTGAAGTTGTGCGCTCAGATCGTTTTTGCTGCCCCATAGCATTTCCCCTAGTAAATGCTATGACCCATTTAGTAGCGAATCATTATTTTTCATTGCAACCCGTTTTCACTACAAAATGGTTCCGTAAAGTCATTTTGTAGTGACCGACATTGGCTTTTGATCCATCATAAAAACACCCAAACCATTTTGTAGCAAGGGGGGTTGGTTCAGATTCAAGCTTCATTTTGTAGTATAAGGCTGTGTTTGTAAACGGTTTAGTGGGTACAACTTCTCTGCAGAATGCACACAGGGATCCATTATGCAATATACACATTTCAACCATGAAAAATGTGGAACATGTGGGGATATGAGGGGTAATTACATATCCGATACACGACTTAAACTATATAATTATAATTGTGGGGGTGTTTTAAACACTTCGGACTTTTTCCAGCCTAACAAAAAGGAGGATGATCGCTAAACCTATCCCAGACTTGAATGATAGGAAAATCTAATGGAAACCCTACAATTGGTGCGAAAATCATGGTTTCCTGATTTTTCCTGTCAATTTTCCCTTACATCCATTGAACAATTGGTCCGTTTCCCCATTCTAAATCCCATTACATACGGTGGATGGTTGCGAAACCCTGCACCACCAACCGGATGGTTGAAACCCTATAAATCATGGGATAACCACCCATGATAAACCATGATAAACCACCTATCAACTGGTGCAGGATTTTGCAACCATCCACAGTATCAACTCATCCAATCCCCATATCCCTTCACGACAATTTGCCAGGAGGTCTCTTGGGTCGTCACCCTTATCCCAGATGGTATTTCCAACATTGCGACCTCACAGGCCCATCAGGCCCCCTTTCATAGATGATTGTTACTTTATGGCAATATAAATAGCAATCAAGAAATGATCGTATGAAACATTATGGAACCTCAAGCTTGCTTCAGGTTCTTGAATTCTTAGCAATTTGCACAGAACGTGAGACGCACCTATTTCATCCTGTTTCCAAAAACACGTAAGCGACATCTTGAATCCGCAAATGAATATGTAAATAAACCATACCTAGTTTCACCGGTCTGCCATCTGATGGTTGTATAATTAAGCAAAACAAGATTTGTATATGAAGTCTATTGCGCGATGAAAATGGTCGAATCAACCCATTCAGAAAGGATATTAGAGACGTAAATTTCAGCCGAATGTGGTGCGAGATGGACCGTCCATCAGTTTTATCCGAAAGACGGCCAGGTGCATCTTCTCAACGGATTGGTCTAAGGGAAAATGTGCAGGAAAGCCCTATGGGGAAACCATGATGCCATGGCTTCCTGTAGATTTTCACCGTAAACCAATCCATTGATCTTCTTGTCCCAGAGTTCCGAAATGATGGTTCATTGAACCTAGCTGAAATAGCCCAATGGTATCCTATTCAGTATCCATGCTTATGTGGTAAGCCCAATGATAAATCTTCAATTGGGGATGGCTATATTTACCACCTCTTTTTGATTGAATCTGGGAATGGCCACGGCATTAAGGTTACAACATTCGTCATTTATGCCTCCGGCATTCAAACATGGTGCCCAATGGAGATCCCTCATCTTATAGGGTAATTTTTCCATTAAAACCTTCAGCTAGTTCACCTAGTTCAGGGATTTGCCAGCTAGCCATCCATATTTGAATAATGGCATGGAATTATCCTATTACATGCCAGTCTGCCTCCATGATAGCAGAATTGTTTTTTGCTTAAACCATATTGGTGGATGGTCATCCTCCCCATGAATAGGGAATTACATATCCATCGTAGGGATTCCCATTGTGGGTCTATGTGTCTTTATGGCCATCAACATTATATTCATTATATCATTATATGGTATACAGATATTGCACTGTCCACATGATATCCCCATCAAAAACTGCAAGTGTTGTTGGTTAAACCATGTTAAACCACCATATTTTACCAGAAAATATGTCCATGTCTCCAGTGAAGCCAACATATGTGACAAAATCATGTCCATACGTGCCATGGTCAACAGTTGAGCCATTAAACATACCATAGTTGGTTGAATATATTTGATAACCCCACAGGATTGGGACACCTATTCAATTAACCAGTATCATGAGATGGGAAGATAGAGTAATGTGCTTAAAGCAATGTCATAAACCACCCATGACTGGAAATAGTTTATACAACATTATGCAACCTATTTACTGTATGGTGATTTGGGGGATGGTTTATGGCATTGTTTTACCCACAATATTTTCAATGGCTCAGTTAAATAGCCGCACCTTCCACCAGGTGAAGGTGGGAGGCGCTCGTGACAGTCGAGGTAGTTACGGCAGTTGGAGCCGGGCGCTGGACGAGCCACCTGGTGAAAAATAACCTCCTAGTGTTTTTTTTTTGAGGTTAGCAACGAGGGTTGATGATGTTGGTTGATGTTGATTGATGTTGGTTATATATGATGATTTAGTTGGTTGATGTTGGTTGGCTGGTTAAAACACATGATTACATCATGAGTACCGTACCCTCTGGTTATTTAACATAGCCATGGAAAATCACCATTTTTAACAGGTAAACCATCTATAAATGGGTATATATATAAATGGGTATATATATGATTTATATATCGCCATTATAAATATATATACACCATTTAATAGTATATACTCGTCGTAGCCTCCGCAAAAATCAAACGTGGCTGGCTGGGGAATCTGGGAGCCCGAACTCCCCATGGATTTTCCAGCGTAAGCCACGTTTTGGCCAACCGGAGGGTACTTGTATTTGGTTGGTGAAGAGTGAAGATCTTTTGAATCCTCTTGTCAATGATCAAAGTATGTCAAAGTATGAGATGGACCGGAACTGAATTGGATATCACATGATAAGAAATCATTTATAAACATACATATGTGCCTTCATGTCCCTATCGATTTTGCAAGCTAGAAATAGTTGAGAATACTTGGATGATGATCCCAAGTGACTTGGATGATGTTGCAGTTTTTTGAAAGGCTTTTTGTAGGGCTAAAGAAAGAGAAAAACAAGAACAGATCGACTGCCCATTAGAGACGGTACACATATTTTTCGAAAACAATATATATATATAGCATACACATACGCATACAGGTATATTGCAGACATATTTACACACATATTTACACATATTTACATACATATTTACATACATATTTACATACATATTTACATACATATTTACATACATATTTACATACAGATATATACAGACATTGGTATTTATCTAAAGACCTTTATAAGGAGTTGCGATTCCGAGGACCGTAAATACCATGTTTTTTTATCCGTAGTCTACCCCTCGCGAAAGTGTTCCTTGAAGTTGTGTGTTTATTGTTATGTTTATTCCAGATATTCCAGAAAGGTTTGCGAAAGTTAGATCCTAGGTATCAGGAACCCTCATGAAATACATGAAGGAGGTTTTGTGAAAACTTTGCGCAAATTACGCACGGATGTGAAAATGCATTGTTGGGGGTGCCAGCAATCCTTTCAAATGCCGTGAGAAGAGATTCTGTGATGCTGCCTGCATGTCTACAAGGCTAGCAGTTCCTGGCTCCTGTCGACATGGATGACCCCCATAGATCCCACAAATGAACTTGGAGTTGGTGAACGTGTGGCGAAAGCCACATATTTCACCAAGAATCGCCGTTTCCGGATGAAATAATTGCTGGTCAAATAATAAGTAAGCGCACAAATAACCGCATATTATATATGAATACAAGTATAAATAAACATATGTTGGTAATGTTGATATAGACAAGATACACGCTATGGATCGGTTTCTTGCTTTCACCGGGGCCAAGGTTTGGGGATGCAAAGAGCCCAGGAGATGTTTTCTGGCCGCAGTTGTGGTTTTTGCGGGTCAACGTTGGGAAAGATGGGAACACTTTAAACAACTGAGGTTTCAATGATCCTTACAAGGTGGTGCCCCCCAAGTTATAAGCTGGTTTATAATCCCATTAACTATAGATGTATCTACCATAAGTCCTAGTGAAATTAGAGTTATAAACCAACTTAGCTATCTTGGGGGCACCACCTTGTACCGACATTTCATGACATTTCCCAACCCCCCAAGAGAACAAAATCAGAGACTCCCATGGATTTTCGGCATGGCTCCAGGACAGACATTGTCCATTCACACGCTATTCTCCAGTTGAGCCATTCGATTTTACCATCTGGTTATGACTAACATAGCCATGGAAAATCCCTTATAAATGGAGGTTTTAATGGGAAAATCATCTATAAATGGGCCATTTTCCATGGCTATGTTAAATAACCAGAGGGTATATCTGTTGATTGGTTTCTTGGGTGAGTTTCGAACAGAACATCACTCATGATGGAAGTCACACACCGTTCTAATGTGACTTACCAATTGAGACAACCAAATTCCATAACTAACCGAAACTAAATTGGGTTATCGGCCAATTTCCATAGCCCATTTATATAATTATAGACTTAATAACCACTTATCCCATGCATTTAACTATAAACTTAGTGTAATAATTATATATATTTCCCATGATTATTATCCCATTACTATTCATGTTCCATCATTAACGGTTACTGAAGAGTCGCTAAGCTGATCGCTGATCCGCTGACAGATTTTTTCACCCAACTGCTAGTTGGTTGCTTCAACAGTGATGCGCTACAAGTCTTAAACTAGAGTATCTCAGTTTCAATACTCTAGGTTCGGGTCATTTTGCTTAGATGGGGCGAAATCATCTAGAACTTAGAACTGGGAATTTCTGAAAGTATGGAACGAAATTTTCTAAATCAGCCACTTGGAACATCTTAGAAATCCATAGAAATCCTAGAGCATCTTCGAATCGGGAAGGCCCATCCCATAGCAGGTCAAGCAGCTCTCCTTGCGCGATTGCTGGCGTGCGAACTTGCAGATGCTTGGCCAGGGGCACCTTGGGAGGTTTTTACCTTGCGGTATTAATCCATAGCCATTTATCATCATTCATCTGGATGAACTGTACATCACTGTGACGTCACTGGAATGATGACGAGGAATTATCCCAATGGTAGCCTTATTTCAGGTTCCTGAAAGATGGTAATTTACCCAGCAGTTTACCCATCATTCATTAACCTGATGGCTATTCTAATCATTTGGTACTGTTGAATGGCTATCTAGCCATACATCTATAGTTATACAATGTTATATGCTCAGTGTAGCATTTATAGCATTTAAGATTCTTAGTTAACCTACTTACAAACCAACGTTGGCGAAGTTATGGGGGCACCTGTCAGACTCCCAAAAAGTCACGCAGTGAATCAGGGAATCATCCCAAAGGGCCTTCATTCAGATTATTTTGAACAATGAAAATTTACCCAGATTATCTGATGATCACAAGCTTCTGTCTTTAAAACGCGATATTAATATGGCCAATTGATATGTTCGTGCGGGAAAAACCCCACAACGCGAGAAGTCGCCTTCGGAACAAAAGGCTGCCCTTCAACAAGTCCAACGACTTGCTGAACATCAACACCTCCCAACATGTTTCCAACGTTGAATATCCAAGTTGGGCATATCATGAAAAAATTAGATGTCAATCCGATTTTTAATCCCACTTTTTTGAACTGGTTGCTCGTCTAAACTTTAGCTGGTTTGGTGATATCATATGGTCCTTAAGTCTCTCTTTTGTCACACTCTTGTTGCTTGAATCAATGACAGTTTTCTGGATTAGATAATTCATGTCAACTCCGTGTTTTCTCTTGTTAAATCAGTTTAACACCATGGTTATTACCATGTATCCCAACGGTTTAACACCAATTTTCCCATATCATAATGGTTAACCATTGGGAAAAAAACCTTTGGAATATGGTTGAACAGCATTTTTCTGACCAAAAACATATTTTCCCAATGGTTTGATACACATTTCCCATATCATCATCTGGATTTATATCCCAATATTCCCATGTATCCCAATGGTTAAACACCATGTTTTGCCGCTCCAAAAAGCACCTCCTGGGCGACCAAAAACGCCTTCGGTAAGGAGAGGCACGCGGCTGGTGGAGGAGAAACGCGATGAAGCCGTGAGGCGAAGATCAGTGAACCCTTCCGAAACAGCCATGGGAAAAATGGTGATATTCTGGGGATGTAACATGATATAACCAACATTAAGCAACAATATTATGATCTATCTATCTATCTATCTGTCTATCTATCTATCTATCTACTGTAATCAATCTAATCAATCTAATCAATCTAATCAATCTAATCTATCTAATCTATCTAATCTATCTAATTATCTATCTATCTATCGATCGATCTATATAATCTTATCTAATCTTATCTAATCTTATCTAATCTTATCTAATCTTATCTAATCTTATCTAATCGTATCTAATCTTATCATATCTATCCAATCTTATCTTATCTTATCTTATCTTATCTAATCTAATCTAATCTAATCTTATCTATCTAATCTATCTATCTCTCTCTCTCTATCCTATCCTATCCTATCCTAGCCTAGCCTAGCGTAGCCTAGCCTAGCCTAGCCTAGCCTATCCTATCCTATCCTATCCTATCCTATCTATCTCTCTATCTATCTCTCTATCTATTTATCTATCCTTCCATCCATCTATCTATCTATCTCTATCTATCTATCTTATCGTATCTTATCTTATCTTATCTAATCTAATGTAATCTAATGTAATCTAATCTAATTATCTATCTATCTATCTAATCTAATCTAATCTAATCTAATCTAATCTAATCTAATCTAATTATCTATCGATCTATCGATCTATCGATCTATCTATCTATCTATCTCTTTTTTTCCTCTATCTTTATCTCTATCTCTACCTATCCTATCCATCATGCCTATCCTATCTATCCTATCCTATCCTATGCTATCCTATGCCATGCTATGCTATCCTATCTATTTATGTTTGTATTGTGATTTATCTAATATGTATATATTGCAAACACCCATATCATAGTACTGCTTGTATGTCCGGTAACATCGGCATTCCTATCGTTAAGGGAAGACTCTGGCTTTGGAAGTTGGAATGACAGCATAGCTTCAGGGTGGCTCGGAAGCACCATGCTTCCATCTACATGGAGGACGGGAAGTTTTTCTGAGCGATGTCACATCACAATAAGTGTAGTACTGGAATGTATCATATGATGTATAGACACATGATGCGTACTGTATTACATGGGTATATATATATATGTGTATAGATATATAGATATACAGATAGATAGATATAGATAGATAGATAGCTAGCTAGATAGATAGAGATAGATAGATAGATATATGATAGATGTATCAAACTATATGAACTATCAGGCATCATGATACAACTAGTGACATAGATTAATGACATTTTCCGCTTAATAGGATGTGACTACAAATGCCACAATAAGAGATATTCATGTACGCGATTGATATAAAACGACCTAATGATATAGAATGATATGGCTGAACAGAATGAACTGAATTGGCTGGGCGCAGAGCTGGCAAGTTAACGCCGCTATGTTATCGATGGCCCCTTCAGTTTGATGACTTATCCATTAAACATGGCGATTTCCCATAGCAAACTCTTGCATAAATTACCAGAGGATACATTATATGATGTGAAATGATGCAATGTGCTATGATATGACACGATATGGATTCCCTTCGGGGATCATCCGATAAAATTGGAACGATACAGAGAAGATTAGCATGGCCCATCCTTGCGTTTGTAGATGATGCTGCGATTGATTTCGTCGTTTCCATCGGGCAAACCCTCCGGAAGCCCCAGCAAAAAAAAATGCGCAAGGATGACACACGATGACACGCACAAATCGAGAAGTATAACAAGTTTTTTGACATGACACGATATGGTTTTGGACATGGATATAGATTTGGAAATGAACGCGAATTTATATATATATATATATATACAGCTGATACAGCTCATTGCAAAGTTACCACACCCCGGTTTGTTTTAAGCGTCAGTCGATCCCGCAGATTCCTTCAAAGGTTGTTCCACTGAAGGCATGTTTCCCAAAGATCTATACATGATGATTTTCCACAGCTACGACAAATAACCAAAGGGGTATGTCTCAAGATTCTTCCACATTCTTCCATCATATAGTATACACTGATACCCTCTGATAATCAATGGCTTGCCGGAAAATTCACCATGTTTAGATGATCTTCCCATTTATCCATTTGCATTGCCTGCCTATTGGTAGGGGATTTCCCATTGCCATGACCGGAGGGGTTTGTTGGAGGATTGGGGTTGGGAACAGTCCCAGGAGACAGCAGGCGATCGCAAGGGCTATAAGTGCATCCTGCGGCCCAATGACCCTATTCGTCCCTTGGACCTGAAAATCGCGGGGTGTTTTTTTTTTTGGGCTATGATTACCATCTGGTAATTTAACATAGCTATTGAAAATGACCATTTATAGTGGATTTTCCCATGAACAATGGTGATTTTCCATAGCTATTTTAAATTACCAGAGGGTATACTTACTTATTTTTGGTTGCTACAATCTGTATATTTGGGGATTATCATGATCCATGACTTGTGAAGCCCCGTTAAGAAACATTTTTTTTGGGTAACAAAATGTCCGCGCAAAACTACAAGGAACCCCCGACCTTCATGGCCGATCCGTAAATGACGCTGAGTAGGAGAATCATCCCAGAATGGGCTTACCCTCCGGTAATCAAATGTGGCCAGCCAGAAAATCCCCGAACGAAACGGAGGTTTGAATGGAGAAATCGTGAAACAACGGGGAAATTTCCATTGCCACGTTTGATTCGAGAAGTAGTGTAATCTGGCGATATGGTGTGGGATGGTGCTGGGAGTCCCGGCTAGGTGCTGTCAACGTTGAATATTTATACTTTGACTCGTTCTGATGCACCAGACACAGTTGAGGGATGATAGCGACATATTCTATCAGGGTTGGATGCCAGGGTGACCTTTGGTCATGGTTGGAAGATGGTTCGTGTATTTCTTTGATGTGTTTTTACATGATCTTCGTGTGAAGCGATTCTGGCGTAATTCGTCCGTTCGTTCTTGCAGCGTTTTTCCTCCTTTTCCTGCAATCAAACCAGGTTTGTTTTCATGATCTTCGTGTGAAGCGATTCTGGCGTAATTCGTCCGTTCGTTCTTGCAGCGTTTTTCCTCCTTTTCCTGCAATCAAACCAGGTTTGTTTTCTAATCTGTTCTATTTCTCCATCATCGTTGCTTGTTTGTTCTAGGGTTTTGTTTGATGTCATCTCATTTCGCTTGTTAGTCGGAACATCCCTACCAGTTGATTGCTCCAACCTTCTTTCCTGGGGTTATTTAAGACATTGTTGGCTAATTCCATTTTTTGCCGGTCCTTGTCTTTCTCGTTTTGCTTACTGCTGCTTATACACCCACATCGTGATGTTTTCGGTGTCACTTGCTAACAATCAGAACCTGTCTCAATCATCCCATGCCCGCAGATGTTGCTTGTTTTCACTGCATCGCATACCCAGAGACATTTTGAACAGATGACCGGTTCGTCACGGACTTGAGGTGTCACATGGGACCTCTTGGGCATGTTCCTTCTCTTCTACGTGGACGCCTCAGACAAGGTTGAGGCCAAGTCTGGTCAAAACTATACGATGGTGAGGCAATCCCTTGGGCAAAGCTGGCGCGGCAAAATGAGGAAACTGACCTTGAACACAGCAGGTTGAAGTATTTGTGTTTGTTTGAATACTTAGTAGGGCACCCAAAGAGTTATCATCCGGGGGCACGATTAACCACATATTGCGACAAAACCCATATATCATATTACTGGTGAATGTTGGTGCCCCACTCTCCCGCCAAGTTTCGGCCACCTCCTCAGGTGTTCCAGGGTTGTTCCATAATCAGAAGTAAGTTTCATCGCCTCAGGGGGAAATCGCCACTGCTTTGACCGAGGATATTTGCACCATCCCCCTGGCGGCGTTTGATCCGGCCTCTCAGCAGGGCGATGGGTGAAATGGGGATTTTGTATATCAATGAGTCATGGCGCCATGGGTTCACAATATTCATGGATATTCATGGGTTCTCTGAGGTAAATGACGAGAATTGAGGTGTAAATTGTAGGTAAAGTCCCTGCTTAAGGATCAACACTCCAAGATGGGACGGCAAAATGAACAGGAGAGAGTACTACTCCCCGGGGGTCCGGGTGGTGTTTTTTGAGGGATTCGACCTGGTGGCTGTTAAGAAGCTGCTTTGGTGGTTGGGGGATAGCTCAAGATGACGGTTTGACCTTGGCACCAAAGAGTCATCCACTTCGTGATCCATTGGCAGCCCATCTCTTGGAGCGAGAACCCAAGAGATATGAGGAGATATATATATATATATGTATATATGTATATGTATATGTATATGTATATGTATATGTGTGTGTATTCCTGATTTTAAATACATATCACTAGATATATATGGGTTCAGAACCTGTTTCAAGGGTATACGGTAGAGGCCCGTCACCGTAAACAGAAACGTTTTGCCTAAGTACAAAGCAAGTTGTTATGAAGGGAAGTGGAATCATGTATAGAAAGATACATTTTTTAAACAATAACCACATTGATACGTGATGGATGGATGGATGGATGGATGGATGGATGGATGGATGGATGGATGGATGGATGGATGGATGGATGGATGGAGACGAATAGATCGATAGATAGATAGATAGCTAGCTAGCTAGCTAGATAGATAGATAGATAGATAGATATACACCGTATACGACACACACACACATGTATATATATATATATATTTGATAATGATATAGTTACATAGATATAGATGTGCATAGAGGAAGCAATACATTTGTTTGGATTATATGAAGCGTGTTATGTAACCCCTTCCTTCTCAGGATCCTCATTGGTTCACCACAACGTGGCTTGGAACGCAATGACCCAATGGTGACCAGTGGGTGGTTCTTGAAAGCCACCCGGGGCGCCACGAATGGATTGGTTCATGGAAAAACGTTGAAGAAAACCATCGCTTTAAACACGAACGTCACTAAACACAGAAGTTTTGTGAAAAAACAATCTCTTTCACCAATTCTAGGAACATAATTTGATATACCGTGGTCCTCTGGTTGTTTACCGTAGCGAACTGGAAAATCTGCATTCTAATTGGTAAAGCATCATAAATCATCTCTAAATGGGCCATTTTTACTCCATTTTCCATAGCTGTGTAAAATAACTAGAGGATTAAAGGGACCCTGTGAGTCGCAAGGCGACTTCGAAGGCCACCAAGTGGATGAGAACTCCTGCGCCGTATATCGCCCCATGAATACAGCTGGGTCTCAGGGTTGTCTTGCCAACGTCGTCACTGGAGCCAAGGATGGATTGGACCACACAGATCTTTTGGACCTGTGACATTGTCATGTCACTGATCACCGGCTATGTGCACGAAGGCACTGAATGGTGTGGGGTTTTTGAGAAGGGGGGCTGACTCCGACACAAAACGCCGGTCTGACTTTCACACACAACGCGCCAACAAGATCCAACAAGATCCAACAAGATCCAACAAGTGTCTACCCTCTGGTAATTTAACATAGCTATTGAAAATGGCCATTTATAGTGGATTTTCCCATTAAAAATGGTGATTTTCCATAGCTATGTTAGTTTACCAGAGGGTATCTGTTGCAAGTTACTCATGTGAATGTTTCGTAGATAGGTCGGTTCAGCTGTTCCCCAGAAAATCCGATTATCCTGGCACAGGTGGAATCATTGTGGATCCGGTGAAGATCTTGAAGAATTATTTGTGTCTCAGCACCACGAAAAGGGGCTGTGGAGAACCGGGAAAACCGCAACACCTAAGGTGGCAATTTTTTCCATCCCCTTGAATTTCCCCCAATTTTTTCCAGGATTTTTCCATTCAAACCTCCATTGTTCAGGGATAAAATCCAGCTAGCCACGGCCATGATGACACCGGAGGGTTATCGCTGCATCACTTCGCTGGTTGCAATAAATAATTGGGAAGGGATTATTTATGGGTCGGCTCAACTTTGAGTGTGCCCCGAAAAATTGGATGGTCAGCACATGTGAATATCATCATGTCAGCCCCGGGCTAGTAGACTCTGTTGATATCTGTTGATTAGTTCGGGTGCAGCACTCCAAACGCAATTTTGAAATTGCTATCCAAAATTGTACCCCCAAAAAGTGTCAGTAAACTGGTGGTTTATTGCTCCTGGGTTAACATCAACCGGTGTGGCGGTGTGGCTGGTCCGTTCCACCCAGAGATGTAATGAACGGGTGTGGTTCCTTTGCGGCAAGAATTGTTAGCATTCAATTGTATTTTTGAACGAAAATTGCGCAATTACAAGGGGCAATTTGGAAGTTAGGATCAAACATTCTCAATTCTAAGATGCCACAAAGATTCTGACTTCCATCAGCTTCCTAATGTCCATCAACTTCCACCTTCCAGTTTCCACTGCCTTAGGAGAACCTGGTTCGTGCTGGACCTGCAGCTCGGCAGAGGATTATTCTGAAATTCTAGCTGGTTATGTATATAAATGATTACAGTTCTGCAACTAAGTTGTGTAGCATTAATGGTTCTTGTGTGTTCTTGTTACACTTAGTAGGTCTTTAGATGTCTTTAGTAGCTGGTTGATCACATGGCTGAATCAGCCAGCCTTGTACGATACCCAGCGTCCGTCCCATCCAAGGTCTTAGACGTCAAACACAATTTGCCCTTCAGTAATCAACCATGGCAATTGAACATCCCCTGTATAAGAATGGAGGTGTCATTGGGAAAAGCCTCTTTTTAATGTGGGCTTTTTATGATAGGGTATTACTCGATTGATGTCGATTCATGTTATGTTGTCCAAGGTGGTGCCCCCAAGATAGCTAAGTTGGTTTATAACTCTAATTTCACTAGGACTTATGGTAGATATATCGAACTAGTTAATGGGATTATAAACCAACAAACATAACTTGGGGGGCACCATCCTGTAGCCATGGAAAGATCCACCATTTTTAATAGGTAAACCATCTATTTCTATGGGCCATCTGTACCTCCATGGCTTTTCCGAACCTTTATGGATGTGGCCATAGTCTGCACGCTACTCCCAGGGCAGTCTGTGGGCCAGATTGGATCTCCACCTTCGTGTGACTTGGCTTTCCCAGAGCCGTAGAGCCATGTAGAGCCCATGTAGCACAAGGAGAATATAGATGTTGATATAGATGATATATTAATCTGGGTAAATTATAACGACCTCACTGTTCTCCCTCACTGGAATCATGGTTTATTTTAGGGAAATCATGCCCAAATGGCCGAACTATTCAGGTTAGTGAAATATTATAATTTACCCAGATTAATGATATAGATGGGAATTTATATCAATGTGATATATCAATGATATAATCTGTTAGTATATATGTACGGATACATAGATGATATAGATGGGATAGCCCCAGCTTCGAGACCCACCAAGCAGGGTTGTTGACCATAAAATCACCATGTACGAAGTTTTTGAATGATCCTCCAAGTGAACCCGTTTCAGTCAAAGCTATGGGTTGCTGGTCACAACAGTTCTATCTTATTCCACCCCAGTGTTGGCATCCTCCCTACAAAAGCCCAGCAACCCATGATCCACCGGTTTTCTTTCCAGGGAGATCTATAGCACCGACTTCACCAATGATCCGGGTGGTGTCAATCGCCTGCTGCGCTCCTTGCGTGTGGTGGGGGCCTCAGTTGGGGATGGTCAGTCCAAATAGTTGGGACATCAAGTCATAAACGAATCTGGAGCATTACAGGATGTTAACCAAGACTGGGTTAGATTAGATTGGACTAGGTTATCTTGGGTTGGATTACATAAATATGATGAGCTTAGAGTAGATTAACTTAAGTTAGATAAGATAGATAGAGATAGACTATGGGTTAGTCAAAACATGACCTCTACTGGTTAGTAACTGCTCAGTACCCATTGTAACCAAGACATCACCACGACGTGAAGATAGAAGCCATCCCGAAATGTCCTGGAACTTGCGCTGCTTCATGGGGAACATTATGTCATTATGATAAACCGTTAAACCACAGCATTTTCGGCCCCTGTTTTTGTTGAACCAACAAGATGTTCCATGAAAGTGAGGATTTCCACAGGGAAAATATGCGGACTGAGATCACGTGATCTCAGGACCATCACAGGACCGGAAGATGGGGAAGTCGAGGGGCGATAATAACAGGTCAAACATGATGAAGCAATTACCCTCTGGTTATTTAACATAGCCATGGAAAATCCCTTATAAATGGAGGTTTTAATGGGAAAAACATCTATAAATGGGCAATTTTCCATGGCTATGTTAAATAACCAGAGGGTAAATTAAGCCTCAAACATGATGAAGATATGATGAAGCCACTAAGCAATGAACTTATGGGTCACCACTGACCACCATCCAGTCGATCTTCCCCAGGTCCGCACCGTTCGACTCTTACGCTTGGCGCCTTGGCAGAGTTTCCCCACATTTTTCCCGATCAAAAATGGTCATAGCCTCCTGATTCATCCTCCATTTTCAGGTACCACACCCAATTTCCCAACATTATCCAATCTCCCATGGTTAAATCGCCATGTTTCTTCCTGAACTTTTTCCCACATGTTCATAGCCCGGCTAGGTGAAGTTGAAACGAATCTTGGCCACCATCAAAGACCGGATCACCTCGGAGGCCGGCGATTTCGCCACCCAAAGTGGGAGATATTTTCGAGAAGTCTTCGGATATGCCATGACAATAGCGATTTAGGAACCACCCTTATAACCAAATGGTTATGAGATGTTACAAGTTACGATGCATAAATTTGGCATAGTGTAGATAACTAGATAACATAAAGCATACATAAAGCTATTCAACTAGCTACTGGATAGTTCCCAAATTTTAGGTAAAGCTACTGGACCAACAGAAGTGGGTTTTACCGTGATGCAACATCACTATGGAGAATCATCATTTTTTGGTAAATCTTCACATATCTTCAGTAGAGATGGGCAATTTTCATCAATTTTCCATAGCTATGTCAGCTATATATGTGAAATTGCTGGAGGGTCAATTTTTGTTGATACACCCGCCAAAATAAGCCGCGCAACTTTCCGGACATACTGGTCGAAACCAGCACCTGATGCCTGGGAACTTCATTTTCGTGCATGAAACCAGGAGACTGGGTGAGGGGTTCAGCATCGCTATGAGGCAGTCTTTATTTTGCTGAATATCTGCAAGTTGATTGTCGGGGCACCCAATGTCTGGAGGGGGGGTGTACCCAATGTTTGTCTGAAAACTGGGTAACCGGTAACCGCCCCAAACTCCTATGGTTTAGCATCAGTTTTCCTGACAATTTGGACTGGGTATACACTCAATTGTCAGACAAACCCGAGACTCGGAAGTAAACCAAACTAAAACTGCATGTTTTCAGAGGCTGGGAACACCATTAGTTGAGAGTCGCGAGAGACTTTGAAGTCAAGACACCCAACGACAACTAAAATCAACTAAGCACATTTCAATGGAAACGGTATGAAACGGTAAATCTTTAATAAATTTGTGAATGAATGGGAGATCTGTGTCCTCCCTCTGGCTTGAGTGGTCTGTTCTTAATCTCCGCAGTTGGAATTGCTTTACCACTGGTACCTTCACCCTGAAAGGGTCGTTTGGGAGCTGCAGCAGCCAGCTAGTTCCAGTGGCTTTTTCCCTTGCGTTTCCATCCAGAGGTTGGAGACTACATTTACTGTTGGAGCTCACTGGGTTCCTTTATCACGCTGATAGGAGGGCTTGATGTTCTATGGTCAGATTAGATTACCATGAAGGTAAGTGTAGTCAGAATGCCACTGTGGCAATTTCTTCTACCTGACCGCAGCGCTTGCCCCAGGGTCTGCTGCTTTTGGTGAATCACTTCATCGCCGCCGCATGGTACTTGGTGGGGAGCATCGTTTGGAGCACCAACTGGTTGGACGCCCCTGGCCTGCATGGTGGATGGGGCCTTTAAGTGTGGCAACTCCCAAGTTCTTTGGCTCTATAACTTATAATTTATGTATATATAATTATATATATATACATACAGAGGTTTCCTAATATAGTGGTACCCCCAAATCATCCATTTTAATTGGATTTTCCATTTCAAACCATCTATTTGGGGGTACCCTCATTTATGGAAACCTCCATATAACCATGGTCCATGGCCGTCCACAAGAAGCAGGTCTACAGCATGCGGAAAGAGCAGGCAGGCTTGGGCTACCGCTACAGAGCCTCGACCGCAGCTTAGCCCAAGGGCCCCAGGAGGGGTCCTAGGCCGGTCCTGGTCCCAGCCATGGTTTTGTCCCAGCTTATGTAACTTTATGTAAGTTTGTTTATTAGGTTCAAATGGGTTCAAAAACACACACACGCACATATATATATAATATAATATAATATCACATACAGATAATACACGCACAGCTGTATGTGTGTGTATATATATATATATATCCAGGCAGTGTCGTTTTCTTGTCACTCCATCAACACTTCGTGGGACCGGTTCGGCAGGTACCTCGCTCCATTGGTCCTTGACACAGTTCACTCCTGCGTCAATGGATGTAGGGGGGCATGGTGTGGATGGGCCACGGCATGTTGGACCAACCATCTAGAGGTCATGGAGCCAAGAATTGCCATATTACATCCTTACATCCCTTTAGGATTCTTTGATATTTTTGGGCGTAATCCCTTGCAATGAACAACACACACACACACTGGTTAAGGGGGTCTTGGTGGTTCTTGGTGGCCAAAATGACGGTGAACTCCCGAGAGGAGGATGAAAGGAGGTGACCTTTTTTGGAGGAAACAGAAGGAACCCTGTTACCCTCTGGTAAACTAACATAACTATGGAAAATCACAATTTTCAATGGGAAAATCCACTATAAATGGTCATTTTCAATAGCTATGTTAAATTACCAGAGGGTATGTGAAGGGATCCTTGGTGATCTTAAACCTTTTTCAAGGGGATATATTCGAACGTTCGAAGTCATACCAGTCAGTGTGGCAAACCACAAATGGACAGCTATGCCACCCCACTTGACATTTTTTCCAATTCCGCGTCTCTTGATAACCTTTCAGAACTATGGAAGTAAGTATTCAATATTTTGATGGTAAAACTTAAAATAAAACTACCCTCCGGCAATCAAACGTGGCAATATGTGGCAATGGACAATACCCATTCATATATAGATGATTTTCAAAATTTGTATCCCCATTTAGTTGAGGGATCTCCCATTGACATGTTTGATCCGGACTGCCCAGGGTCGCAGGGCAGTGGTGCATCCTAAGGTGCACCCTCAGAACGTTTGGGAGCGCTACTTCGCCATTATGGCCACTTTGCTGAGGATTTTTCAGTGACGATTTGTCGAGGGGTGCTTGAAACCAGATAGCATTCCCCAGAAGGATGGTGATTTCACATTCCCTGCTACATATTGAATCATATTTCAATCTATTTCAATCTATTTCAATCATATTTCAATCATATTTCAATCATATTTCAATCATATTTCAATCATATTTCAATCATATTTCAATCTATTTCAATCTATTTCAATCTATTTCATATGATGTTGCTTCAATGCGTTCTACGTTTCTATCTCTTGACTCCTATGCTCCGTTCTTCTTGAGTTCTAGACTTTCGACCTGAGAGGGTGCAGTTTGTCAAAGTGCAGGATCAGAAAGTGGCGAAGTTCAAAATGGGGAGATCAGTCATGATCAGTCCATCCAGTCCATCATCGATCAGTTCAGTATCCCAGATCAGTATCCACGTAGCCACAGATCACGGAGTCTATTCACCCTGGGTGAATTCTGGTCATTTTGGGGAGAAGAGGGTCCCCGGTCCCCGGTGCCCGGTCCCGCCGTGCAGGTACTGATTGCAGGCCTGGTGCTCTTCTCTTCCTTCATCAGCTCGATCACAGGCTCCATGTCGCAGCTGCGGAACATGAAAGCGGACAAGTCAAAGCAGCCCCTGGGCGTCGAATGGTCAGTTCAAGAGTCCAAGAGCCATGGATGGTAGCGAGATGTAACAAGATGTAGCTAAGTCTTCTAACTCAGATTGTAATGATTGTAGTTACTTCATGTTACTTCTAGCCTTTTGAAGTGGCCTTTCCCACTTTCAGCATGGTGTTGTTAGACCATCCCAATGCTGGATGAGGTTCTGGTTGCTGCGGCGCTACTTGAAGCAACAGAAAGTTCCACGAGATCTGTGCTTCCGAGCCCCTCAGCAAGGAGATGAGGTATGCGTAGCATGAGGCATACCTCATGATCTGTGAAGGTTTTCCTGCTAAACGATATAGTTTTGAAATTTCATGCCAACCCTGACAAAATAGCCTTTCCGGAAAAAGAAACTTCGATTGCCCGATCATTGGGCGACCCCAAAAGTGAAGTATATCATAAGTATATCATAAGTATATATAAGTATATCATAAATCATAAGTATATCATTCAGTAGATTGGGTCAATCATCAGCAACGGCCGTAGAAACACCGGGATTTCTTGATCTTAGGTGCTTCGCTACATCGAATATGTGCGGGGCCTCAGGGTGAACTCCCAGGGCCGAAACAATCCAGAAATGTGGTCGAGTCTAATGTTGTAAGCCCAGTGCACCATCCCCCATATTGACTAGAAATGGGTGGTAGAAAACCTTCAAAACCGGAGGTTTTATTGCATGGGTTTACCACATTAAATATATATACTAATTTTATTGCTGCATTTATCAACGTTAGGGTGTTGTTTGAGGGTTCGATGCTGCGAAACATGTCCAAGAAAACAGGAGCATTTGGGAGAGGATCTGCCCCCGTCACATCTAGCCTCACAACGCCCCCAAAATGACTTTGCCAGTAATAGTTGGCAATGGAAAATTCCATTAGATTCCCTATCTATAGATGAATTTCCACTGGAAAAGCCTAATATCAGGGTGATGCAGTCAAGGCCATGAACAACGTGGACGACCGAGTGCCTGAAGGGAGACTGGGTTGCACGCCACGAGGATCCACGAGGCCACGGGTGAGGACTCATTTCTCGCTGAGCCGAGCTGAGGAGAATCACTATCCTGAATTCCCTGACAGAACAGTTGAGGAGCCGCCTGCAACAATGTGCAACCCGCTTGGCTGTGTATGCTGTGTCTTGGGGATGTCCATAAATGCCATAACGACATGCTCAAGTTCAAAGTCAAACAACTGGGTGCGCCCAGAATGGCCCCATTTTCTTGAGTTTTGATGATCGACATTGACGAAGAGATTGTTTCAACTTGGAACCAGGACCACTTGCGATTTTCTGACGGTGAGGTCTCAAGCCAAAATGTTCATATCGAGAGTCATCAATACGAGTTTAATTAGCTATGTTGGCATATACCCTTTGGTAGTTTAACATAGCTATGGAAAATCACCATGATTAATGGGAAAATCCACTATAAATGGTCATTTTCAATAGCTATGTTAAATTACCAGAGGGTATTGGCTATGTCAAGATGCCAGGATTTGTTTCGGGTGAACGAACATTCACATGATGTTCCAACATGTTCCAACGTATGTTTCAGCAACTGGCAGGAACGAGTTGAAGTTCTTCACGCACTTTCGTGATCTCATTTCTCATCCGTTGCCACTCAGCTGCGAGTTGCCAGCGGACCCCACTGGCCCACCTGACCATTCAATAGCATGTCAAACAGTAAGATTAGTAAGGGCAATCACCCGAAACAATTATAATACATCATTATTCATTTATTTTTTATATATCAATATCATCTGGGTAAATTATAACGACCTCACTGCGACCTCACTGGAACTATGGTTAATACGGGAAATCATCCCCAAATGGCCTTAATTCAGGTTAGTGAAATGTTATAATTTACCCAGATATCATACTGCCAACTTCTTTCATCATGTTTCATCACATCATCGACTAATATTTCAAACCGAGGTTTGGCCACATCCGTCGACTCAGCGAGGCGGGATTTCCAAGGGCCATCCAAGCGCCCTAGAAATTTCAGAGGAACATTGTGATTCAATGGTGATTTAGTGGTGGTTTAAGCAACATTAACCATGGTATACCATGGTCAGTGGGATTATTGGGATTTCAAGGGATTTAACTGCAGGAGTTTCCCTACATATCAAACATGGCTAGCTGGGAACTCCCCGAACTAAATAACAGTTAAATGCAAGAATTCCAAAACATTTTTTTTTTAAAATTGCCATAATTCGATTGCCGGAAGTTCTTCGGATGGTCATTTCCGACCATCCAAATCAACCCAAGTCATTCTATATAAATAACTCTAAGTCCTAAAATCAATGATTTAGAGCCATTCCCATCTATAACCAAGAAACCAGGATAAACCAGGATGCATAATCATCGAATCACGTGAAGTTGAGGGCAAACTTCCTTTCAAAGGATGTGAAACCTCGATTTCCGTGTTTTTTTTTGTTGTTTTTAGAGGGGTCCAAATGGCGAGACTGGAAGATATTGCATCTTTGTGTCGGATTTTTGCGGGCTTCCTACTTCCTGCAATTCTCGAATGGTACTTAAATCAATGATCGCTGATTTCAGATATTCCTAGTCAGTAGATCATTGATGATCACTGGTTTATATTGATTTGTATGTATATATATATATACATAATTATATATAATTTATATTGATTTGTATATGTATATATATATATATTGATTTGTACAAAGTCTAATATCATCTAATATCCATATTCCATCCCTCCAAGGGAGGGGCCTTGCAATGCCTTAGATCATCCCTCGGCTAAGCCTCGGCTAGGCCATCCTGAACCGTGCCTTGCCACGAGAACGGGGTGGATGGGTAAATTGGGGATGCATAAAACTGCTGAGTTCAGAAGTCACTTGACGACTCCAAGATGAAAATACATTTTTTAGCTTGGCGAGAACCATCAAGAACCATCAAGAACCATCAAGAACCATCAAGAACCATCAAGAACCATCAAGAACCATCAAGTTTTTAAGATGCAAAAAGAAATGCACTTCTTATTCTTCTATGACACTTGGTTGCTTCTGTGTCCCGAGGGATGAGTGGCCGTGTGTTGCGCGAGACCGAGCTGGCGGCCGGAGATAAACTCTTCAGTGACCTGCCAACGGTTTTGGGGGTGGTGCCCTTTCGCAATTTGTTGCAGAAATCACCATTTTTAATGGGACAACTCACTATACATGGCCATTTTCAGTAGCTATGTTGGTTTGCCAGAGGGTACATGGCAATTTGGAGAATCACCAATTTTTGACAGGTAAATTTGGTAAATCGTTTATAATTCCTTCCCCCCAATACTAACCGCCCACCCCCTAATAATAAACACCTGGAGGAGTTCTTAGTATTCGGGGGTATTTAGCATTAGGGTGCGAAGCTTCCCCCTAATACTGAATTAAAAACCTTAATATAAACAACAAAAAAATCTTTTCCAAAATCGATTAAATTTTCTTTTAAAATCTAACTAACATATTGAAAAAAAAGATTTCGAAGCTTTCCCCTAATATTAGATTAAAAACCTTAATAGAAGGAACCAAAAGATCTATATATTTCAAAATCGATTATTTGTTTAAATCTAGTTACAAACTTGCCAGACAATTGTTTTCGAAGCTTTCCCCTGATATGAAATTTGAAACCTCAATATCAATTACGACACATTTTTTCGACTTTATAAGACGGACCCTAATTTAAAGAAAAACGGGGATGAATAGTTTTTACTTTTAGGGGGTGAAACCCTGTATGGGACCTTCATTTTTGATTTGGTTTCGGAAGGGGATCAATTAAAAATCACATTGGCCAGTCTGAAGTTTCCCAAATTTTAACCGGACCCTAGTTTTTCGTATTTGGGGTACGTTTAGTTATGGGGGGAAGTTGAAGGGATTACATGGGCATGCATGGGCCACTCTATGCCATTCTTCATAATGCTAGATTACCAGAGGCTAGGTGGAGTAGTGAAGAGTAATTGCTCTCCATCTTTCAGGTACCAAAAAGACCTTGCTGGCTGTCTCAACATCATTTTCTCAACAGGAGCATGCATCTTTTGCAAGGTATCTCCCATTGGCTTGCTCTAATTCTACAGCTCATTAAAATTAGTTAAACTATACGTAATCTTTGAGAACGCTATATGGCTGGCTGGTGGTTTGGAACATTTATTTTTCCATATATATATATATTGGAAATAATCATCCCAACTAACGAACTCATATTTTTCAGAGGGGTAGGTCAACCACCAACCAGATATGGTATCCAGAAGCAAGACACTTGGAAGATCTTGGAATATGGGCTATGGCCAACAGCAAGGCCAATCTGAGGTCTGGTGGATGCCTCAGCGGAGATGTTCTTCATTCAGCAAGGCCATATCCAGTACACCCTCTCGCGAAGGAGCGGAAAAGAACGGTTGAGATGGATATATAAATGGATAATGAATGATAATGATGGATGGATATGGATGGATATGGATGGATATGGATGGATATGGATGGATATGGATGGATATGGATGGATATGGATGGATATGGATGGATATGGATGGATATGGATGGATATGGATGGATATGGATGGATATAGATGGATAATGGTTGAGTCTGAGAAAAGCTTACTTCTTTTGAACATCAGCAGATGAGAGATTCTGATGATGATGATAATGACGATGATGACGACGACGATTGAACACATGGATGAGAGGTAGCTGAGTTTTGACGATCACCAAATCAGAGATTTTGGGCATGGCTTGGCTTTCAGAGAATGATGTAAAACTGCGGAAGTGAAGCGTGGTGAAAGGACAATGCCAGCAGTATATACGCTTTGCCTTACATTGACACCGAAGGATACCAAAGGACCACAGGAAGGACACATCCCAGTGATCTCTGTGATAATTGTGATATGTGTGTGTATGCCCATCCGCACATTGAAGAATATTCGCGGAATGTGTGGTTCAACTGCCAACCCATCAAGCATATATATTGCTGCAGAAAGAGAAACACCCCCCTCCTGGCAGCAGATTTCATCAGATTCGTGGCAGGAGTGAAACGCCTTGGAAGGAGGACTCACATCGCAAAACACTTCAGTCATTCCAGTCCTTCCAAACCATTGAAATGCCCGACCAGACCCTGGCTCCTTGGTAGAAGATTGGCTGTGCATCCGTCGTGGCCATAGTTTCATGATGTTTGATGCTCCCTCAATTGGTCCCCGGAGCCAAAACCTCTGCAGGTTTTGGACAAGGCAGTCCCGGGGCTGGGATCACGTCTTGGCGCTTGGGGTGTGAAACATGGATTCTTCATGCTGTGATCTGAAGGCCATAGTTGGTTAAAGCGGCGAACCACTTTAGACTTTACTGCATTTTCTTCTACAAGTATCAAATGTGAAAGGGTCAAAGCTGGTATATACTATATAGTAGTTGTTCAAAATTGGATCGTGGTCAGGGCCTTATTTGTTATTCAGAGAGCTTTACCAAGCTTTACCATGGGCTTTATTTGCCCAATTCGTTTAGAACTTGGAATGTCCCATGGTCCCCTAGAGATCTAGCTGTACAGCGGACTCCCAGGGCACATCTACCTTAGAATCCTTAGAACATCAGATGACCGATATGGCCACGTTCTGTTATGGAGGACTTCCTCGTGGCCGATATGATATACTGTACCAAAACCATCCCCAAAACCCAGATTTTTGTCAAAACTCAACTTAACTGGGTGGAAAGGATTTCACAGCCAGGACGACTACCTCTGCGAAGTTTCACTCTGGAGCCATTGGGTGCACCTGGGGCTGGCACAGGCAAATCCTGCGGGAACGAAAAACTGCGACGTATCAACTACCCAAAAGAACAGAGAAATATGGAGAACACAGAAAACCAAGAAAATTGTGCCTATACAGTCTATTGATTTTCCACATGTTGATTCATGGTAGACAATCTGTTGCAGATGTTAGCCGCAGCAATGACATATCTAATATATATATATATATAATATGTCTATGGAAAGCGTAGTTGGAAACCATGAACACCGTTTTCATTTTGGGAGCCCCACATCGTCTTCCCGAGAATCCCGTGTCGCACTTCCGGCCTGGATGAGCCTTGAACTCATCTTGGGACCCCCTAATGAATGTCTGTTTGAGGTCGGACAATCGTTTCATCAAGGGAAAATGAGGCCAAGTTAAAGACCCACAATTCTCCTGTGCAAGTCAAAACAACATGTTATAAGAATGCACAGCATACCGATGATTCTGAGAAAAAAAGCTCTGAACATCTAAACCACCACAACATTACCAGCAAAATGATGGTTAGGATATGGTTAGGGTTAGGGCCACTCTCCCAAAGTCATTAGCTAAACCAGGAAATGATGGTGTTTGGATTAGGGTAACTATCATGACCAAACTTTTTCATGGTGACATCAAATTCTCCAGCGCAGGCGGTGACTGAAGCCACCATCATCTCCGTTCAAGCCCATGCCTTTGGCGATCTCGTGATCAAGGCCATGAGGGCCACCATGGGGGCTCAAAGGGGATTTTACTGGGAGTTGAATGGGATGGAATGGCATTTGAATGGTGCCCCAGTTTGTGAAGGAAGTTGGTGAACATAACTATGCTGATGTTTGGGTCTATGGTGATGAAATGAATAATAATGAATATAGTGGGTTAACAAATCAACGAACATAGCTAGGGGGGCAACTTGAGGGGGTTTCCTCACAACCGCTGTTTTCCCATCAAGAATGAGAGGTAACTCACATGTAGAGACGAATATGGATAGGTGTTTCTATTGGGTATAGTCATGTATTTTTTAGCATGGGATTGGATGTTTGAGGATTATGCATGCTATGAACATGCAATGATGTGCATTTGTATGCAACTGTAGTTTCTTCCGCGACTAGATGTTCATTGTGTATCATCGTGTTGTTTCCCCAATTGCATGTCACAAAAAGGAAAGGTTCAAACGATGTGGATATGGCAAGTCAGCTTGCAGGATATGCCGTTTTGCCATAGTGGCCAGAAATGGCGCTTGCCATCCAAGAATACACAAGCATCTTTGAAGAACTTCTAAACGCACTGGACTGTTTACAATGATTGGGGGAGGTCGTGCAGAGCTGGCCTCTACCGGGTGCCAAATCAATGGGTTCAACTGATCCCAGGATGCAGATTTGGGAGAGTTGGCGACGCTCTACGCGCAGAGGCACTGGGACGCCCTGGCCCAGCAAAATGTGGGACACCATGAAACAACCGAATTCAAACCGCAAACATCATCAGACATCTGGATTGAACCATAGTTACTACTTACCATATAATTGATTGGGATTCCTTGGCCATACTTCTGGATACTTGATAGCCGATTTTTAGGTGAACCAAGATGACCAAGCTCTGACTTGACATGGGGAATCAATCGATGGGGATAGGCACCTGTCACCTGCCACTTTAGCTCCACTAAGGAGGAGCTGGAGCTGCAGGTTAGAATCCCACGCCCTCCCAACCAAGTCGTCGACTCATCTCATGACTATCATCATTTGATATGAAATGACGCTTAGAGAATCTTAGAAGGATGACTATCCCCTGGCCAATGTTTTTTTTGGTGTTTTTTTAGTATGAAAGAATCTTGGAAGGATGACTTAGAACGTCCTTCCTATCCCCTGGCCGTTTTTTTTTTACCAAAGCTTGGGTGACAGCAATTTTTTCATGACAGGTATGTTGACCAGCAGGCTGAGCTCGATTGGATCGAGGTGAGTAGTGAGGCGGGTGTGTTTTTCTTGGAGGGTTATACTGAAACTGATAGGGGATTACTGACCATAACCATCCATATCCATCCGTAGCCATCCATAGCCATCTGTAGCCATTTTTTGTTCTTTTTTGGCATATTCACCAAGTAACGAACCAAGCAGCATGTGGACTTTGACAAACTTACGATCCAGAGGTGAAGGGAGCGGTGAAGGGAGCTGGGGGTATCTTATTCCCCATCAAATGAGGAGCCAGTTGGAGCGTTACTAGGAGTTTCCCAAAAGGTGGTGCCCCCAAGATAGCGTTCAATTGGTTTATAACTCCAATAACTATGGTTTATGGTACTTATAACATCTTATAACTATACTTACTGGGGTTTATAAACCAACAAACATAACTGGGGGGCACCATCCTGCAACCGCATGATTGAATATGAGATAGATAGATATTTCGTGGGTCTACGACCGATACTGCTGGTTTATTTATGATAATTATGACCATTTATGACCCAATGATGACCAATATGACTTGTGTCTGTTTTTTTACTGGTGACAGTGGGTGCAGAGACTTTTACTTCGAATTGGGATGATTATCCTTAGTGCACCATACAAATTCCATGAATTTTACTTTACGGGCAGCTCAACCACCAAGCAACTCATATATTCATATACATATATATATATATGATATGCATGTAAAACATGTAATGTAACATCTGTATATTCACACACATATATATATAATCATATATGTAAAATTATAGTATAAGTGGGTTTTACCAGGTTACCTCCTCGTAAGTTAAGATAGCCATGGACAGTTGCCCATCTGTAGATGGTTTACCTATTGTATACTTCCATGGTCAGTGTTATATCGGTTTCCATCATTTTCGTGGCACACACCGGTTGGGATTCCCCCCAAACCAAAAACAAGAACCTATGAAGGTGTATCAGTGTATCCCACTGAAAATCAATCATGTTAAACCACGTCAAACCATGTGAAATCGATGGTCAGATCCAATTTTTTCCCATTTATATAAATCCATTGAAGTCCCATTAAATCACCATAAATCAGCATTTCTATGGCCATGAAATATTTGTCCTGGAGCTGGCGTCTTTCTTAGGCGGCCAAAGAGTTCACCCGGAGCTTCTTCCTGGGTCCTGCCGTGACGTGAGAACTGCAGGATCACCGTTGTGTATAGATATCTATAGTAATTCCCCAAAAGGTGGGATAGAATGGTATATCATGGGACCTCATATTTCCAGATTCCCACCTTTCTATCTAATTTGGGGTTGCGATATGATCTATATTGATTTAAATTTGTTTGATGTGTTTTTCTTATTTTGGTTGTATGATCATTTGCATATAATCGGGTGATGGTGGGGATGTGTTCATGGCCTTTTTTCCCTCTCTCTCGGTGGTGGATGAAGCCTGCTATGCTCAGCGCGGATGCCGGTGTGCCACCGTGCCACCGCGGCAGTTTCACTTGTCTTCCAATGAGCAGCAGCCAGAGAATTTGGTCACTGCTCCGGGTGTTTCAGCCAGTGTCTCTTTCCATTTCTTTGGCGAACTTTCCACACGATCATCCAACAATGCAAGTCTTCATGGCCAATGGAAAAATGGAAAATCCTGTCTACATATAGTTTGATGGGATTTTCCCACTATTAAATGCCTGTTTAGTTCAAGGATCTCCCAACATGTTGATTCACCACTCTTAAAAATATTCCATATGATGACCCGAATGGTCACCCTTTTCCATGGCTTTCACTGGCAACACCCATGGCTTCACAAAGGGTGTAGAAAGAGGGACCGGACCTGCGGGCTCCACCAATGGGTCAACGAAATCGCTGAACGGTCAACGGTTATCGATTCTGCCACATTTGTACAACAATTTGTATAATGTATATAAGTTAATGCATATAAATATGTACCTATAGTGACTATAGTGGATCATAATGAATTACCCTCTGGTTATTTAACATAGCCATGGAAAATGGATGAAGATGGCCCATAGAAATAGATGGTGTTTAGCTATTAATAGCATGGTGGATCTTTCCATGGCTATGTTAAATAACCAGATGGCAAGTTAATGCATATACTGTAAATTTAACATAATCTGCATGATAGTACATAATAGCACGAATATGTATGAATATGTATCATAAGATGGATAATGATATGCACACACACACACACGTATGAATAATGATATGTCTATGATGTACTCTGCATATGCTTTTGGAATATACAATAAAGATACTGTAAGTCTGTATGTTTTATTCCCTCTCTGGGGGAGCATAATATTACATCATATATATATAATTATATATATAATATTCATATTCATGATGATATATACATACCCCGGGCAATCTCGTAAGACCGACAGTAAACCACACGCAATTTCAAAACAATACCATAGTGGGGGGGTGCTAAAAACCATACCACACAAGGAGGTTGATTTCGGGGCTACTCAACTTAAACACCAAAAATACCACAAAAGTGGGTTTACAATGTTACCCTCTGGTAAACTAACATAACTATAGAAAATCACCATTTTCAATGGGTAAATCCACTATAAATGGTCATTTTCAATAGCTACGTTAAATTACCAGAGGGTACCACATTAACTCCTGATCAAACGCATCCAAGATTGGATTCCTTTGTTTGGATCCCGACCCCCGCCGGGAACCGGCGGGAGGTGACACCCCGGCGAAGACTCGAGGGCGAAGAAAATGCCGGGCAGTTGCGGAATCTGGCCCCGTTTGTTGGAAGCCGAAAGTTTGGGATCGATATAGAAAAATGCAGATAGTCATTTGGCAACCATTTTAAACTCATCCCAACTAGTTTTTTTTTTGGATTGTTTTGATTGTGGATCTGCAGAATAGATCGGATAGATCCACCAGGTTCCACCATGGTCTTCGGGCTTCTCCGAGGGTGTTGAAATCAGGGGGGCGGGGATGATTAAACCACCGCAGTCAAGGTGACTCCCCAAGTAATACTGCTTTATTCAGGGCTAAAAAAGCACCAACCACCACATTGTCAGATGAGTTTCCCAGGGTCTCTAATCCCCAAGCAAAAGAAACGTAGCGTGAAGCTTCCGAGTTTGCCCAAGCTGTAGCGAGGCAGCCAGTCTGCCTGGTTCAATGCAGTGTGAGCCTCAATGACCAAAAATCGCGGGCTTGGGTGGGACTTGCGGCCCTGGGGAAGAATCAAACATGGCAATTTGGCAATGGGTGTTGCAAAACTTAACTGGAATCGGAATATCACCGATGAATGTGCTGAAGAGTGTTGAAGAAAAATAGACAGTGCATTAGTTTTTCCATGTATTTCCATGTATTTCCATGTATTTCCAGGTTTAGATTCAAGGATACTTGCTGGTAGTGTTTTCTTTTTGATAGGAGAAGCACGTGTCCAAATCTGCCACAGCATTGCTGGATCTTTTTCTACATTGCTGAGCTTGTTAGATGGAAGCGACCCGCTGATGGCCACATGTTGTCGTCCTGTGATGGTCATTCTGTTTTCCCGGAAATCAACGGCGTACAAGATGGCACAAGATCACTTGAATATTAAAAGACAATTGGATGCCAAAGACAGATCTGGATTGATACTGTAATCCTCGTATGCCAATTGTGACTTAGTTTTCCCAACAAATATTATATATATATATGTACATGTGCATGTATATTCATATACTATATAAACTGACAATGTTTGAAAAAATGCAAGGTGGTGCCAGCCTTACACCATCCTCCCACTTCCAGGATGGTGCTGGCCCATGTGTTGGGCTTCACCCTGAGCACCGCATTGCTGGTGCAGGTTGAACGGTTGGGGATCTTCCACCTGGGATCTTCCAAAAAATGTGGCCACGTTGGGGTCAACATGCCCATAGGATCCATGTATGCTATATATGGTAACATTTACCATCAATATACCCCAAATGTTAGCATATATACCATACATGGATCCTATGGGATGGGTCAACCATTGTGCTTTGATGGATTCTTTGCAGAGTGTCAGGAGCCGAAAAATGTGGTCTTCACGTCTGGGAGCGAAGAAGGGAAGTGACGTTCGTGTCGAAGTTGACGGGTGAAGAGGAGTATTGTGCCATATTGTGCCTATTGGATTTCATGTTAATGGATTTTGGATGATTTTGGTGGATTTTGGTCTAGAATATCTAGAATCTATAAGGATTTGCTCAATTCAATGCAAACTGGATCGCATCAGCAGATGGCACGGCTCCACCACTTCAACCTGGACAAATGCCATGTTTCATGCTGAATGGAAGCTGCTATGCCTATGCTAATATCCTGGAATGTAACTAGGCTTTTTTGCCAATTCAAAACACACCATTTGCAGGTTTATTGGCTTTTCACACCGATTAGGGTAAAACTCGATGAAAGTTAAAGCCACGAAAAACTTACACTAGCGGTTTTATCAACACTAGGATTTGTTAGTGTGGTAAACCTTTAGGGCCCAACCCCCAATGACTTCCCATGGTTCTGCCGTCCCAGGCCACCTCGCAATGGCATCTTCTGTCGTGGCAACGGCTGCCCCTACGCCGAGACAGGCCCCCGAGCTGGGGACATCCATATGGATTCCATGGGCGGCGATGGATTTTCGTGTCGGGGAAGGCATTTTTGAAACGTTTTTTTTTTTCTCGATCATCATTGATAGATGGTTTATAAATGTGTATTAAATGTGTATCATTTATGATATATATATATATATATTCATAAGAAGCCCTTATTTAGCGGTTGTTGATGATTTTAACCCCCCTCATAAACAAATATATACCATAGCCCTATACATAACCCCCATTTAATATAGTAAACCCATGTAAACCTCGATTAAATGGTGGGTGATGAAATTCGCAAAAAAACAAGGAACTGCAGGTGGGTGAAGTATCACCCCAGTTCATTCAGTCAGATATGTAGGGTTAGTCCAGTTAACTCACTGGGGTGGCCCTGCCATGCTGCAGGGACCATTGGTGGACAGAACGTCCTTGGTCATGCCGGCTCGGTACAGGCGAAGTGGGGATGATGGGATGGAAGTTGACCCCATGTTGACCTCAGTAAAATATTTGTCCAAAACTACCACGAAGTGGTGAAAAGGTGGGGTTGGACGGTGACAAACTCACTTGGAGAGCTGCGTTACTTGGATTTCTTACTTCAAGTTTCGGGGAGTTACCATGCGCTGGGAAACATGAGATTTACGCATAACACGGGGATACCACGGGGCTTGGAAGGCTCTTGAAGAATTCCTATCTGGGTTCAATAAATATCACAGGTGGCAGATGATACTTCTGTTTCCAGTGTAGAGTTGCCACGGTCATTCTATGTGGGATGATGTCATCCTGAGAGATCAGAACCCATGAGATATCACCTATGGGATTTCAAAAGCTAGACTCGCACAAGTCTGATGCAGAACCATCACAGCCAGCATGAAACATCATGGAGCCATTACGTTCCAATCAGGGCAATTGTTTACACACCGTTCGAATCGCCACGAGCTTAGGCTTCCACTCCCCATTGGACTGTAGCAGGTTCCAGACATGGGAATACCCTCGCTGGATCTCTTAGCAAATCTCACCAAACAATGGATGATTTGCATGCTGCAATGGGCCCAATGGCCAGCCATTTTCTGGCTGCTGGTTGAACAACCATGCTTTCAATGTTCAATCATATTTGGGGTAATGAGGCCCTATGACACACACACAGGGATATATATAATGTATAATGCACACATGAATAGATATATATATATACAATATACATATATAATTAATACATACACATGTATGTATATATTAATATATATATATAATATAGAAAATAATAATGTATATATAATGTAATAATATACACATAATGTAAAATATTCACACCGTATGATATATAGATATACATACATAGATACACACATCAAATATGTTCAACTGGGGCTTTCCAGGATTTGGTCCAAGTGGATTTTTTGGTCGGACCGCTCCCAGTATGGGTGACCCACAGGATGTGAAGCAACAAGCCGAAGCAGCCTTGGCCATGGGAATGGACCCGATGTGCCAGCAGTTGGGGGTAGATGGGCCTTGCCTAGTCAAGTCACTGGTGAGTAAAATGGCATATCTGGTTATAACATGGATAATATGTTATCTAATATAATATGTTTCTATATTTTTCTAATGTAATGCAATTAACATGATATACAACATATAATATTAATATAACTATAATGCAAATATAATGCAATAATAGAATAACATATAACAAGATAGAATGAAATAAAATAGTCATACAATACAACATAAGGATACATAAGGTAATACAATTCGTTTCAGTAAGCCACTTGCTAGTACCCGTGTATCATTTAACCAACCCCTTGGGCCATTGAGTCGTAGTGCCCACTTTGTCAAAGGTCGCCGTTTTTTTGGGGCCGACACTTCGGCAAACCAAAAAAGATTCTCAGTCCTTATGGTTCTATCAGCACGCTTAGTTGCTTCCGTGATCTCTATATCTATATATATATATATACGTTGATTTATTCTGTGTTAGTTTTTTTTGGATTGTTGGTTTCGAAGATCTTCGACTTCCACCCCTGGAATGATGTTCTCAAAAGAATGTCAAACTTTTGAGACGTGCTTGAAATCACCAGCCAGATCAATTTGGCGAATATATATATATATATATAATCATTTTTTGCCTCATGATACCCCAATTGTGCCATGGGTCACCCACTCAGATCAGAAATCACCTGTATAAACCGACTGCATACACTGTATGCACACCTGTGCGTCTATACCACACAGACACGCACACACGGACACGTATATGTGTATATGTATATATATATAATACCATCATGAAGAACACGCCTTACCTGCAAAACAGACAGTACTGCACACATTTTGTCTAGCTGTTGTTGGTGGCCGCAGGATGCCCTGCTGGCACGGAAGGAGTTTTGCCGAGGAAAGCGCCCAGAATTTCCCAGCTTTGGACCTGAAAATCATGCAACCCATGGGATGTTTATATCAGAGAAAACCATTTGAATGTAGTCCATAAATGTCCATAAAGCATTCGAAAATGGGGATTTAGATACTTTAAATGAGATGCGAATGGATTGGTTGGGATTCAGCCACCGGGGAAGGTTAGCAAACACTTGGGATTCAATGCAGAATACCTGTGTGTATTGTTTCTAAACCTTGGTGTTTTGCGACATTTGTCATATTCCACTTGAGTTTTTTTCTTTCCGAGCGAAGTATTTAAGATATTAAAGGGTACCCGTGTTATGAAGATGACTGAAGTGACACTTGCCAAACAGTGCAATTATTATATTTATATTTGTCGTTGCTTTGGAAGGGCGAAATGCAGTCAATTGCAGGGTTCACCATCCAACCCTAGGTCATTGGAGGGCAGGTATTAAAGAGAGAAGAGAGAGAGAGAGAGAGGGAGAGAAGTAGATAGAAAACATGTAAATAAACATGTAGATAGACATATAGAGACACAAGGATACATAGAGACATATAGATAGACATATAGATAGGCATACAGATAGACATATGGTAGTCATTTAGATAGACAATGATAGACATATGGATAGAGAGATGGAGTTTCACAAAATATAATACACAATACAAAATGTATATAGACCCTCTGGTACTTGACAATAAAGCCATGGAACGTGACCCATTTGTACATGATTTACCTATTACCGTACACATGGCAAATTTCTATGGCCATCTTGGATTTACTGGCAGGAATGAGCTGCGTAGATGGCATGGGCAAACCTGTGGACCGAACGAAGGTGCTGTGGCTGCGATTTTGGTGCTGTGGTGCCAACGGGTACCACAGGGATCGCCAAAAATCATCAAAGGGCGGCAATGTGATGATCCTTTGGAATATCCTTTTGTATTAAATCTATTGTTACATATTTCGAAGATGGACAATTACAGTACACGCACACACACACACATATATATATATATACATACATGCATGCATACCATACCATACCATACCATACCATACCATACCATACCATACCATACCATACCATACCATACCATACCATACCATACCATACCATACCATACCATACCATACCATACCATACCATACCATACCATACATACATACATACATACATACATACATACATACATACATACATACACACTCACACACATATATATATATATATACAATTATGTGTGTATATATATATATTTTTAATATAATATATATATATGTACAAATCCTTACCTCGCTACGTCATGGATCAACGGCCCTTTCAAAGGCCGCCTTCGTGGCGCAGTGCAGCCACTTCTTCAGAAAGGGCCTGGAAGGACAGGACGACTACCGCTCGGTGAAAAATGCCCTGGGCTCAGCCAGATTTTTGGATGTTTTTTTTCTGACGAATGTGGGTAACACAATGCCATAAACCATCATAAACCATCCCCAAGTCATCACCATCTTTATAGATGGTATGGTTACCATTTCCAAATGGCGATATTTTTGGATCTATGGGGGTTCTACTAGCCAACATTCACCGGGGATTATGATGATCCATATGAATCCGTCATCCGTGAGCTGGGAATCATGTTCTTAACCAACCGTCATGGTATGTTTTTTTCCCCTAAGGACAGCCTAGACATGGCACGACACTTTGGGGAACATGTTCAGAAAACATGTTTAAATGGTGGTTTGGGTAGCCGATGCTAAGGCAGGTGATCTGATGTTGATGTGGGGCCCGGTGGATTCCCAGCAGCCCCTTAAGAGAATGATCACCCGGTGGTTTCGGGTAACCCCCTCAAGATCTAAACCACACCTAGCACTCAAATCTAAACCACCAATCGGCTGACGGACATGGCATGGGGGACTATGTTCACATTTTCATACATTTTCAAGAAATAAAGATTGAAGATAGGATTTTCTGGTCATGGTCTATAAATGGTGCCAAAGGGTGGGCCATGGTGTCAACCCTAATTGTTTGGGGCCCTGGCAGCTTGAGGTCTACGACAGCTTTGGAAACATTTGCGGCCCAAGGCGCAGCTAGGGAGCATCAAAATCCGCTTATCAGAAAGCGTATTGCAGCTTGGGTTACATTAAGATGATCTAGTACCTGTGTTTCTTCTATGGTCATTTTTTTTGCATATGAAACATCAAAAAATATTTGCGAGCGTACACACGCACACATCTATATATGATATATGGATATATGCAGTGTGCAAATGTATTTGTATTTGTATATGTGGTATGTATATGTATCTGCATGTCTACACATATATATATATGTACATGCAACGCGCACACATAAAAACATATGCATACACACATATGCATTATATACACACCTACACACATACATATACTGTATATACATCCATACATCCATACATCCAGCATCCATCCATCCATCCATCCATCCATCCATCCATCCATACATACATACATACATACACACATACATACATACATGCATGCATGCATACATATATACATACATAGATAGATAGATAGATAGATAGATACATACATACATACATACATACAGACATACATACATACATACATACATACATACATACATACATACATACATACATACATACATACATACATACATACATACATACATACATACATACATACATACATACATACATACATACATACATACATACATACATACATACATACATACATACATACATACATACATACATACATACATACATACATACATACATACATACATACATACATACATACATACATACATACATACATACATACATACATACATACATACATACATACATACACATATACATACACATAGACATAGACATAGACATATACATACACATACACATGCATATACATGCATATACATGCATATACATACATACACATACATACACATACATACACATACATCTACACATACATCTACACATACATCTACACATACATCTACACATACATCTACACATACATCTACACATACATCTACACATCTCTACACATCTCTACACATCTCTACACATCTCTACACATCTCTACACATCTCTACACATCTCTACACATCTCTACACATCTCTACACATCTCTACACATCTCTACACATCTCTACACATCTCTACGCATCTCTACACATCTCTACACATCTACACATCTACAAGCACGCTACATCTACACACCTACACACATATACATCCATATACTTTTTATATACATTCATATAATACACACATACACACATATACACACACATACATACATCCATGCATACATACATACACACATCCATGCATACATACAGTATAGACACACACACACATATATATATATATATGCATACACATCCTGCCAGGGTGGGCTATTCGGAACTGCCCTTCTGCCGTGCCTACGGCGACGTCGTGGCTGCCGCCCTGGCATCGCAGATGGAAGCGACCACCGTGGGGCGGCCGAGCTCATCTGCCAAGCCAGTGGTTTTTTTATCCATTACTAATAGGATAATCATAGTAGATATAAGTTTAATATTGGTTATAACTAATAGGATATCCAATTAGTAATGTTATCCTATATAGTATCTACTATATGTGTACTATAAGTTAATTATAGATATATAAGTTAATGGTTTTATAATACACATAGTAATATTAACCTATAGTACTTTTGATTAGCCATATAATATCCCATATATATATATATAATCATGGCGTATATGAGATAATAACCCATTTATCTTATTCTATTATTAACTGGGGTATTAATAGCTGGGGGTCATAACGCCATTAATGGAACGTATGGGAATATATGGGTTATCATGAATGGAATACCTCCAGATGATTCCATCCCCCTATTAAACACCCCCCAAATGGTCCCAAGTATGTGGAAATCACTTCACCATGGTTTTTCATGGGTGTTAAATAATGGGATGGGATGATAAGTCGGGATATTCGATCAACCGAACTTGAGGTATAATTTATTTACTAAGGAGGATGCACGCCTCAAGTAGGCAATTCGTGGGCCTCCAGTCTCCAGTAGTTTCATTTTGAGGTAGTTTCGCTCAGACATAACTACTGGCCATTTTCAGTGGCTCTAAGAGGAAATACATTATACATGCATAGAAGTTGAGTTGTCTACCATGATCAACCAGTTGAACGAGCTTGTGAACACACTCTGACAGGGCCAAACTCTGCAGAGTTTCTCCGCTGAAGATTTCAGCTGAGGTAGGAAGTGCTGAAAGGATTTGTGACACTCTCTTCGACTTCACATTGGAAATCAAGCAGGCCAGCAAGGGGAGCTGATGTTTTTCATTGGCTCGGAGCTGCGATGCCTGAAAAACCCTCCAGTGAACAGGTGGCTACTTCTCTCTTTGACAACTGCAGTTTGGGATGGACGTATGAAAAGAAAGTGGTCAATCACCCAACTTTGTTAGGGGAACAGTAAGCCTTCATTTTTGTTGGCCTGGCTGGGAATCATGGGCTTGATCAGGTGGAAGTCTAGGATCCTGGCGATCTCAGACGCGGGATTCACCCCAAAAGATCCCTTTTTAGCATCCAATAGCATGGTCACCATGGTGTGAACATCATCCCATTTCATTCATTTCGTTCACTGGGTCTCCCAGTGATTTCGGACAATTTGCACCTTGATTCCGTAGATCTTCCCTTGGGGATGGTGGCACCCTGCCAGGCTCAAGTCGATCTCGAGCTCTTTGAGGCGCAAACGGTTAAAGGCCACAGATATTTGGGTAGTGATTTTTCCACAGAGACTTAAACTTAAACCCGATTTCTGTTCCAAAGTTCCCGGAACTGGAGATATTTTTTTAGATCTTCCATATCTTCATCCAGGCCAACTGTGATGAAAATCGTTGCCCATTTGTTGCCCCCATTTTTCACCACAGGTTCCAAGAAAAGACCAGGGGAAGCGGGGTCAAAAACCTGGCGCAGGGTTCCTTGAACCTGGCGAGCGAAATGGGTCCTGGCACTGTGCGGGGACAGCGCTGGGCCAAGCAATTGGACTTGGCTTCGAGTGAAAGCAGCCACTTGCAGGCAAGATGGGTATCATTGGGTATCCATTCCATGATGGGACCATATGGCCAAGAATTGGTTGAGGGAAGATTCATGGGAATTCATAGTAGAAAAATGAACATCAACAAACATTTTTTTTAGGAGGGCCATTCATTTAGGGATTTTTTTTTTTTTAGTTTAGGGATTTTTTTTTTTGATTTCTTCCTGCTTACTCTATTGCCTCCTGCAGTGCTTCTCTGCTTCTTTGCTTCTATTCCTTTTTTTGTTTTTTTTGCTTTTCTTTGCTTTTTTGCTTTTTTGCTTCCCTTGCTTTTCTTTGCTTTTCTTTGCTTTTTTGCTTTTTTGCTTTTCTCGCTTTTCTGCTTTTCTTTGCTTTTTTGCTTTTCTTGCTTTTCTTTGCTTTTTTGCTTTTCTCGCTTTTCTGCTTTTCTTTGCTTTTTTGCTTTTCTTGCTTTTCTTTGCTTTTTTGCTTTTTTGCTTTCTTTTTTGCTTTTCTTTGCTTTTTTGCTTTTCTCGCTTTTCTGCTTTTCTTTGCTTTTTTGCTTTTCTTGCTTTTCTTTGCTTTTTTGCTTTTTTGCTTTTCTTTGCTTTTTTGCTTTTCCATGAGGTGTGGAGCAACATCTCCATCTATATCCATCTATATCCATCTATATCTATCTATATCTATCTATATCTACGTATCTATATCTATCTATGTCTATCTATATCTGTATCTATATCTACATCTATGGCTGTATCTATATATCTATATACCTATATATATATATATCATATATCTATATAATTATCTATATATCTATATATCTATATATATATCTCTATATATATATATATATATATCTCTCTCTCTCTATATATATATATATCTATCTATATATCTATATATATCTCTATATATCTCTATATATATCTATATATTTCTTTATATCTCTATATATATCTATATCTAGATATCTATATCTAGATATCTATATACATATATATCTATCTATCTATATATCTATCTACCTATCTATCTATCTATCTATCTATCTATCTAATTATCTATCTATCTATCTATCTATCTATCTATCTATCTATCTATCTATCTATCTATCTATCTATACATATCTATCTATATATCTATATATCTATATCTCTCTATATATATATACTATATATCTATATATCTATATATATATCTCTCTATATATCTATATCTCTCTCTCTCTATATATATATTTATACCACCATATATCTATATATCTGTATATATCTATCTATATTTCTATATGTATATATACATATATCTTTATATCTATATATCTTTAAAAATATATATATCTATTTATCTATATATCTATATCTATATATATATATATATATCTGTATATATATATATATCTACCTAAAAGGTTTGCATTATCATGCGGATGATATTCAAACCCCAAGCCAACCCTGAACCAAACCTTATATAAATAGATCTTAAACCAACTCGATGATAACATCAAATGAAACTATTGTGCATCGTTGTGCCTTAACCTACATTCCACATGTTTCCAAGGTGCATGTCGTGTAGTATATACACCTTGAGTATCACATTCAACCTAGCACCTTGCATGTGAAAATAGGTGTTTCCAATCTGCTTTGGGGGGGAGGCGCTGCGCCGTCCCCCCCAATCCCCCCCTCCCGCTTTTTTTTATTTAAATTCAAGCTTGCACACATTTCAATACACTACTTTGGTTAGAATATATATATATACATTGTATATATATATATATTGTATATATATATATTGTATATATATATATATTGTATATATATATATTGTATATATATATATTGTATATATATATATTGTATATATATATATTGTATATATATTGTGTATATATATATTGTATATATATACAACAACACTAACAACACTAACACTAGCAACACTAACAACACTAACAACACTAACGGTAACAACAACAACAACAACACCAACACCAACATCAACAACAGTAACAGTAACAACAAACAACTGTTGGAATGTCAGCCTTCAGCTCCAAAATCCTGCAAGTACTGTGAGGAATGTAGCTGTAAAATGTTGCACATACGGTGGAAATGCAGATTCCAGCTCAAAAATGCTGCAAAGAGCATGGAAAATTGACAGAACATGCTGCAAACTGTTGCAAATACCGTGGAAAATACAATGGAAAATGAGAGGTTCGAACTCAAAACCGTTGCACATACCGTGGAAATGGCAGTTTCCAGCTCCAAAATGCTGCAAATAGCATGGAAAATGGTGAGAACCGGAAATCCAAAAAAAAATTCCCCAAACTAAAAAAAAATAATCCCCAAACAATTTCCTACCCTTTTTTTTAGGCATATGATATATCAATACATATATATATATATATATATCATCGGATTCTGTGCAGTAACCCGAACGAAATGGCGTAATTTTTGGGTTGAAATAAATGATCGTGTTTGCCCCGGAGATGTCACGGATCAACTGCAAAATCAGAAAGTCTGGGTGGGAAACTTCGCAGGTGGCCACAGATGTCCAGAATGCCACTGCAGAGGAGTCGTTTAACGATCACCCTATGATTGGTGGGGCTCAAAACGGTGCTTGAGCCACAGGGCAATGATGAATTTTCATGACAGTTCCAGATTGTGAAATGATTCTCCTGTTTCAGATCCTTTCGGAGAGACCTGGGTGTGTGTGATGGACCATGATGGACCTTAAAGGGTCACTTGTCAGGACAAGTACCAGGTGACCATGCCATCTTGGGACGGTGTGCGGGTCTTGGTGATGGGAAGATGCTTGATCCGAATGGACATGATGGTCAATTTGGCCTCCATGATGTTCCATGTGATTTTCGTGAGGGGAAAGTACAGGGCGGCTGGCCTCTTGACAGAGATCATGTAGTACCTCGATCAAAGTGACTAATTATTCTAATCCTAAGTATGTTGAGTTTCCTGAGTATTCCGGAATTCTCCGCCACAAAGATGGGCGTCTCACCAAGCATCATCACCTCTTCTCATTGTCTCTCCACCATTCCCCCTTCATTTATGACCACGCATTCAACCCTTCCAAGCTTTCAAAAACTACTTCGAAAGAGATGCCTTTTTTCACTGCCGACAATATGGCCTCAAAGTAACTACCCAACCATGATTTCGAGAAACTCAGCTGACATACTCTATGGATGTCCACGGGTCCCTTAATATCTGCCAACCCCCATGGACCATACACATCCACCGATTTTGCTCAGCCCATGGGCCCCATGGCCCCATGGGCCCCATGGCCCTATCGGTCCCAGGGCCTGAACGCGACGAAAGTGGCTCCGCAACTCTTCGAGCACTGCGAATTAGAGATGCGCGAGATCATGGCAGATGAGTCTGGATGCCAGTGCCATGCCCCATGGATCCCCATGGGACCCGGAGCTGATCATGAAACATGGCAGAAATAGCAATTGAACATCCATGAAAGTTCATTTTAAATAGGCTTTTACTTGGAAAGTCAACTATAAACTGGAATGGAATTGACGCACCTATGTTGCCCATCCATTTCATTCGCTGGCTTTACTCATAAGGTCGCAAACTGCGGGGCGTGTCAGCAAGCTGGCGGTCGATTGGTACGCTCCCCTAGATTTTCTGGCGAAGTAGTGCGTGGAATAGTTGCGACAGGAATTTGGTTGTGTCTCCCTGACCCCAGGGCTGACCAGGGGTTTCTTCAATGATTATGAATGGGTATGAGCCACCATCAACAGGGATGCTCCAACCTATTATGCCTGTACAACTGGGTGATTTTGTGCGATTTTCGATCTCATGGACCCAATTTGCCTTCCTGCTGTTGGGGGCAACCCTGATCAACCTATCAAGCTATGATCGACCTGGCGCAGCGGTTCGGACCAGGGTTTAAACTGCACCCTTCAGATGAGGTTGCCAAATGTTGCCGGAATATGACTGGGATTGTGGCTTCACATCTTTGAATCTGTATCATTCTGTATCGCTTACAAAAATGCCTAGGATATCTAGGATGAATATGGACGGATCACGTTTAACTCGAGCCCTGGCTCGAGCCATCTCTCCGGCTCGCCAGGTGCAATTTCCAGCAGCTTCAAGGAGGCCCAGTTTGCCGCTGGCTGTTTTTGATGGACATTTGAAGGAAGGGCAGACCATTGAATATAAGAAATCATGGGGTTTCCCATGGGGAAATCACGGGAAGCAATGACAAATTCAACATTTCCAGAAGCTTCTTTTGTTTCCTCTCTGATGTGCTTTCTTAACAAGATTAACTTAGTTGCTTGCCAATGGGTGTCGCTTTGCATCCTTCTGCCTTCCAAGGTTTTGGGATGGTTTTGGGTGCATGAAAATTAGTATGAACATATCTGATACCCTCTGGTAAACTAACATAACTATGGAAAATCACCATTTTCAATGGAAAAATCCAGTATAAATGGTCATTTTCAATAGCTATGTTAAATTACCAGAGGGTATATCTGCCAATGTTCTAATCATTTCTAATCACATTTCAAGATATTTCAAGCATCTCGGGGAGAACCAAAAAAAGTTCCCCCTACTGGATGTTATCCTGGACACTGCCAAGGAACATGCCTGGAGGTTACCTCGTTGCCCGCAGCTCTCGCAGAAAAACGTTGAATACTCCCGTAAATTCGTTCAGCGTCTAGCAGCTGTCAACTTGGACATAGACATAAAACAGGGGTCTACAATGCAGGTGAAGTTTTCAAGGACCCAGCACCCAGCTGGACTTCCTTGGAGCAATTTGGACTGAGCCACGTTGTTGCCGGCCCCCTCGGCCCCCGGGAAGGGGGGAGCCATGGCCGGGAATTCGATCAGCACCAGTGTCTTGGACGCGGAAGATAGCCGACCATTGGCCAACCTGGACTTTGAGGATGGGCGGGCAAGGAGATGGAGTGGTTGGACCGTATAGTTATAGAATGTTATAGATTTATAATATAAATTAATATGTAATAGATTATAGATTATACATATTATTAATGTATATAATAGATAGATATTAATATAATAGATAGATTATAATAGGTGTTTCATGGAGCCCTGAGACATGGAAGAGTGGAGTCTGCTTGAGTCGCCCGTCCTGCAGCTTACTTGTCAGAGAAGGTAAGGTAATTATATCATATTATTTGGAAGCCGATTCATCCAATTTAAATATTTCTGTTTCATTCGTTTTATTTGATTTGAACCACTCATGTATCAGACAGAGTGGCAACCGATACCCATCATTCAGCAGGGCAGCCCTGTGAAGTGTGGAGATTCCCCATCTTCAAGAGGACAAACGACTGTCTCCTTCGATACATCCACACATATGGTGACATACATTCACGTAAATTGATATACATTGACGTACATCGACGTACACTGATTGACATACATTGACGTACAGTGTCGTACATTGATTGACATACATTGACGTACATTGATTGACATACATTGACGTACATTGACGTACATTGATTAACATACATTGACGTACATTGACATACATTGATTGACATACATTGACATACATTGACGCACATTGATGGTCCCCTTTCCAGGAGCTGGCTGCCGATGGTGGTAGCTTGGGAATCGTTCTGAGTTACCTGGATGCTCAGCTCAGTCAGCTCCGTGGATGAAAGATAGGCACATAGCCATGGAAAATCACCATTTTTAATAGGTAAACCATCTATAAATGGGCCATTTTCCATGGCTATGTTAAATAACCAGAGTGATCCAGAGGGTATATATATATGTATTTTCTACTGTGATATTCTATGCATATATCGAGCACATATGTTTACTTTATCTATACATAGAACATATACATGGCTAGTGCATGTATAGATGCACATTTCTGTACAGAGCTCGGAGGGTTGGGGCCTAAACCTCCCAATGTTTTGGATTGTTTTGGGATGGGTGGAAAATCAAACATTGCTGGCTGGAAAATCCCTGAACCAAATGGAGGCTTTAATGGGAAAATCACTATAAATGGGCTATTATGGGCTGGTGTGCTGACGTCAGATACTCTTTGCTACGTCTAAGGGGTTTTGATGGGGCCATGAGGTATACTTTGCCTATTTTGTGGCTTTCCGATGCCTAGAATCTACTCGCAATGCAGGCTACAGCATGTTATAAGATGTTATAAGACCAACCCTGCAGAACGACCAACTACATCAGACGACCTAATGGATCCTTGTGGAGAGAGAGCATCCCAAAATGACCTTATTTCAAGTCAAGTACTTCTTTTCCAACCATTGGAGAGAAAACGAACATGGGGAAGCACATGACATGAAAACACACCATACATCGGAAGGTTCATTGTTTCGGCAATGTATTTTGAACATTTCCATCCCAACGTGTCGCGCTTGAGATGACCCCAACTGTCGCTAACATTCATGTTGGGAATGCTCGAGTCCATGTCGGGAGCAGGGCATGCCCCAATCCATGGCGCAACTGGCACACAATTCATTATATTTACTGCAAACATATCAAACATATTGAGTATTAGATTATTAAACCCTACTCTCGGGGATCATTTTGACCTCAATTTTGGGTCATGCCCACCGTGTTTCGCCTTCTCTACGGGCCGTTTTTTCATCCTTTTTCCCAGGAGAAGCAACACCGTATCATCATGGATGCTCTGACATACCAAGATGAGATGTTAAGGTGCGGCCGCTCTGCTCGCCACGGCGGCCTCAAACGCAGCAATTTTCACCGCACATGTGAAAATAGAGGATCCTAAATGTCTAAATGGGTGGGGTGCCTCCAAATCATTTAAGTCGTGGACGACCATTTTTTTACTGAAACCCATGGTGACTTGGGGATCCCCCATTTTAAGAATCCCCGAAATATCCTCTTGGAGATATACACTTTAATCTTTTTCTTTCATGTTCGGTTTCCAGATTTCAGATTGCTTTCTTCCGATCCCAAAGTATATGCACCTCCAATAACCACCAAAAGATCACGCAAGAAATAACCCACTTAAATAGAGAGATGCGTTTGACAGTAATAGACCATCAATGATACTCACAATTCATAATTCATAACATTTCATAACCACAATTAGTAAGCACAAGTAGTAACCACTTGAGACACTTCAATGTTGACTACATCATTATTAGTAGTGGTCATATGATATTATCTGAGAATACATGACAAAAATTGATAACATATAAAAACATATGATATTATATGATATGGCTATCCATGGTAATATATTTATATATATATAGATGTAGTATATAGCAACCAAAACAAAGAAGCGACGAGTTTTTCCAGGATGGAACTTCGAGGATGTCCACATCCCATGCCATGATGATTTGATGCTTTTCGGGATCATTAAACCACAGCGGTTACGTTACATGCCATTCATGGAGTTAGTTTGAATGGCTACCCTCTGGTTATGACTAACAGTTTGCCATGGTATAGATGGCCCATAGAAATAGATGTTTACCTATTAATAGCATGGTGATTTTCCATGGCGAACTGTTAAATAACCAAATGGCTAATAATGAATGGCTAATATATTGTACGATGATGTACGATGTGGTTATGCCTGTGCCTTTGTATCCTAAACCCACGGTTAGTACTATATATATTGAGCTATATATATATGATACAACTGTCCTAACCCAGTCGTAATTGGGCTATAACACTTCATGCTAGTGCGATATATATATATATACATCTTTGACAATCAAGAATGAGCACAATGTCTTGCATGATATGGTTATATAAATACAACTACACGCACTGTATATATAAGACAATAAATACATATATATATGTATAGGTAAGATTGCATGCATGCATGCATGCATCCATCCATACATACATACATATATACATTACATACATTACATACATTACATACATTATATACATTACATACATTACATACATTACATACATTACATACATTACATACATTACATACACTACATGCATTACATACATCACATACATTACATACATAACATACATAACATACATAACATACATAACATACATAACATACATACATGCATACATGCATACATGCATACATGCATACATGCATGCATACATGCATACATGCATACATGCATGCATGCATGCATACATGCATACATACATTCATACATGAATACATACATACATACATACATACATACATACATACATACATACATACATACATACATACATACATACATACATACATACATACATACATATGTTTTACTATAGTGTACTATGCCATGCTATACATTACATTACATGACATTACGTTACATTACATACATACACACGCATATATATATATGTATACATATGTATACATGTACATATATATATATACATACATTTAAATGTACATATACATATACATTTACATATACATCCAAATGTACATATACATATGCATATACATGTACATATACATTTACATATACATCCAAATGTACATATACATATGCATATACATGTACATATACATATACATTCAAATATACATATGCATTGCATACACATATACATCCACTCATATACATATACTATACTGTACTGTACTATACTATATTATATATTACATTACATGACATCACATTACATTACATACAGACATGTATACATATACATATATACATATAGATATTAGAATATAAGACAATTCTACCCAAACCTTTTCCTTCCACTCTCCTTTGGAATCTCGGAGGTCCATCAATCACCGCGTGGAACGTGAGGGCTCCACAGTGCCAGCACTGCCGGAGTTCCGCTTCCATGCCATGAGCAGCGGCCTAACCAACGGACTGGGCACCGGCAGCGCAGGTGGGGATTCATTTTTTGCCATGGAGGATTCATGGAGGATTCGTGAGATTTTTCCATGGGTTGAATGGGTTAGAATGAGGGCTGAATGAATGGGTTAAGAATGGGCTGAAACAATGACATGAAATGACATGAACTGAACTGACATGACATGAAATGAAACGATATGAATGTATTCGAAGTAAATGAGCATTGGAAATGAATGCTTCTCGAGTTCCCCGGTGTTCACCAGGGTTCCCCAGGCAGCGCCGGCAGCAATGCGGTCAAGGCGTCGAAGGACTCCGCCAAGCTGCGTTCGCCAGGCGGCCAGAGATTTGGCCGGTGTGGTGGGAAAAAATCCTCGAGACATGGAGGTTTTAATGTGAAAAAACATCTGAATAATGTCAACCCTGGATTAATAAACCCCAAACGGCTGTTTAATTGGGAAGGTACCATTTAAGTATTAGATTTTGACTATTGGAGGAGTACCCCCCTAATTAATAAACTATGGTTTATTAATCCGGGGTTGACATTATATAGGAAGATAAACATATAGATAAAACTATCAATGGTGGGTAAAAAATTACATGAAAAATCCATGAAGATCATCAAGATACCAGAGGTGGATTTTCCATGAAAATTGTTTGACTACCAGAGGGTAACAGGGAAGAATGGCGGTTTCCAGAGGCAATAAACTGATGTAGCTGATGTCTTGACAGTGATCGGGGGTTCCCTTTGTGCTACCCGCCCACGATGCTGATGTTTTTCAGGGGTTGGGATCCCGTGCCAAAGTCATTTTCTGATCCTGGTGGTGGCTTGCAATGTGGTGTGGGGGATATATCCAAAGGTAAAACTGGTACCCTCTGGTAAACTAACATAACTGTGGAAAATCACCATTTTTAATGGGTAAATCAACTATAAATGACCATTTTCAATAGCTATGCTTGTTTACCAGAGGGTAAAACCGCCAAAATATGGAGAAGATGAACCACCTTGTTAGCGACTTGGGATTTGGATCCAGCCAAATTCCGCTCTGACAAGAGGTGCGAACGTGTAAACTACTAGCTAACCAAGATGGCCCAATATGGGTATCAAAACGTATGCATGGATAGGGAAATGCAATAAAACCACTTCAATTTGTACGAAGAGATTCCCTCCTGTAGTCAAACGTGGCAATTGAACATTCCCATTTATGATTTTCCCATTCAAACCTTCATTCATTCATAGGGGAGGTCCCACTGCCAAGTTTGATTACCGGAGGTTACATTTTAAATTGACCACTCATTGGGGGAATACGGATGGTATTGTATGATGCGCCATGATGCCCCTTTTCCCTCTGCAATGATTTCCAGCATCACTGACTAGATGCTTGCTCCAAAATTTCTATTTCTGAAAGCGACGATATAATGGATAATTATGGTTTTTGTCGGTGAAACTGGTTATGTAAACATTTGCAATTTTCTGACCGATCGAACTTGCATAGCTGCATTATGCTGCATTCCCAACGAATTAGACAAATTTTGGCTCGAGCCATTTAGTTCGAGCCAACTAGCTACAAGACTGGAATGGGTGATCCACACCTGTCCGTGAACCTATTTGTAGCATCCCCTCTATGGAAAAGAAACTTTTCTCCTGCTTGGGCTATACCCTACGCCTTGCCAAGAAGACTCATGTGGATCAAGAATTCTGCAGCTGCTTGCAGGCTGCCATGTTTGCCCTGAAGAATAGCTTGAGTCAGAGTGGTGAACAATCTTTCACCAACTTGACGCAGGGAATCATCTATTCGCATGATCATTTGACAGTCCAGCGCATGAGTGCTCCTTGTCATGAAACCTTGCCCAAGAAGACTTGGGGCCTTGTTCTCATCTTTCTTCCGAACTGGATGACATGAGGGTGGACTTTGAGCACGAGGTAATTACGCGCTTTGAAGGAACAACACGGGCTCCAAAGGGCAAATTTGGCTACGCTTCGCTGGAATAGCTCGCAGCTACGTGACCAGTGCGTGGTTGTTTCGGATGCGGTGCCGGATGCGGCCTGCAAAATGCAGTGAATGCAGGATCAGGTTGTTCAGCAAGTCTCAGCCTGCTTGACCACCATCCACCATCCTTGCGAACCGGCAGTGCGGCACTAGAGAGAAATCGTTGGCCACACCGCTCCCAGCACTTTCTTTCCAAGGCAGGCCGCAGTTTAACGAGCCGTGGGCCATGGCTTCCACAGACGCGTCACAAAGTCCCAGAGGCTACTACGGTTTTCATTACACATTCTTCTTGCAGATGGCGCAAAAAACTTGCCACCTGATCATAATCCATAGTCATCCATCATAAAATCCCAATGGGAAATCCATAACCATTATCTTCATGACATGATAATAATCCATAATCCATAATTACATGGATTGGTCCAAATCAGTTCCAAAGCAATATCAATGAAAACCATGATTCATCCATAGATTGTGTTTCACCATAGATATATTACCCAAACCATATTTTCCTGTATCATTTCACCAATCATGATCCATTTATTTTATGTCAGGGACGATCCCCACAATTTATATGGCCTGAAATATGGTACAGTACCTCCATTGATCCTGAAATTCCCATTGAAATATCTGGTTGGTGGTTTCAACCATTTTTTATTTTCCATAATATACGGGATAATCCTTCCCATTGATTAGAATTGGAGAATCAATAGTTTATGAATAGATAGGATAAACAACTATCTTATGGCTGGTTCACAGATGTTATCCTACCCTCTGGTAAACTAACATAACTATGGAAAATCACATTTTTTTCATGGGAAAATCCACTATAAATGGTGATTTTCCATTGCTATGTTAAATTACCAGAGGGTAATCATTATAATTAATTGTTATCAACTGGAGATTATCCATGATCATTGTCCATTATAATCATTATAAATCATTATAACATAGTATAACCTAACTATTAACCAAAATGACCTCCATCTTCGCCAGGCGAACATTCTGTGGCCGCCAGTCTCTTCACCAGCTACTCCCAGGACGATCTCATGCTGCGCCTGGGTGCGTCCCAGGCGGTCAGCCCCGTTCGTAGCCAAGGCCAAGACCCAACGCGCACCAAGGGGCCGATGCTGGGCCAAAAAGGTGGCCGAAGATGTGGTAAAACCATTGAAACCTGAGATGTTCAGCAATTTTCGGAGGCTTAATTGGCTTAATTTTGGCTTAAGACATGCATAAACCATGGTGATTTACCGGCAAAAAGGCATCCAATAAACCGTTTTTGTTTGAGATTTGATTAGAAACAGAAACCAGAAGGCGAAGTTGATGGAAAACATTGGAAAACATGCGAATTTACTCTACTCATCATAATCCGAAGCCTTCTTGAGTTACTTTGTATGTTTTAAGAATGCAAAAGCTGGACGCCAACAGCGCGCCAAGCATCCCCATGAATCTCCATCCATTGATCCATCCCCATGCTTTATTATATTTTGCGACCAGGAAGTCAGGAAGTAGCATGATTATGATTAGTGATTAAGGATGCTTAGTGGTCAAGGATACTTTGTCTCTTGTAGTGCGGCAAGAGGTGCTTGTGAAAACCAGGTGGTGTTAGGTATGGGCGATGGGAACCTAGATATTGAGTGGTCATTGTAAATGAACTATTTTTCCGTTGCCACGTGCGGCTCCCAAAGCTGAAGTTTCCAATGGCCAAAACTGAGGACGGAGACGCTAGTACAGAGGCAGCTGTGGTCGGGAATCGTGGCTGGTGAATGCCCCTGTGACCATGTTGTTCTTCCTTGTCCCTGTGGTAACTTAACATGGCCAACGGATAGTTACCCATTTATAGATGATTTGTCGACTAAGCATGGTGGTTTCTGGTTTCCGATAGTTCTGTTCAATATTACCATGCAGAGGGTAACTTAAACGATTTTTTAGGCTTACCACTCACTTTTTCAAAGTGACATGAATCCTCCATTTACGGACATGGGAAAGGCAAGAATCCATGTCTATTGTCTTACTAGGGATTTACCATTTGGTAGTTTAGCGTAGCTACGGACATCCACCATGTTTCGCAGCTGAATCATCTATACAAATGGGAAACTTCCATAGTTACATACGTTAGGGTACATAAATTACGGACATTTTCCACTAAATTCCATTATGGCACAAGTCCTTTGTCGCTTGGACCCTCATTTTTAAAACCCCCTTTTTGCCAGAATGTTTGTTTGCTGACCGTGCACTTTTTGTTTTTAAAACCCCTTCATGTCTGTCTGTGAAACCATCGTTTTTGGTTGGTTAAACCCTGATTGTTTTCTCTAGAACGTTCAAAACTGATGCAAAAACCGTCAATTTCTCATTAATTGCAAGCAGTTGGAGCCCAAGTGTTTCTTGGTAAAGCCAACCCAACATCAAGCATTGTTGGTAGTTTCTCCTGGCATCTCCTGCCAGAATCACGAGACACGTAGCCTTTGACATTTTCTTTGGTGCTGTGGTGGTGACGAATGCCATCTTCATCGGCATCGACGTGGGCTTTCACGTGGGACAAAGCGAGTCAAGGGATGTGAGCTTCAAAGTTTCTTGCTGCGGAGTGGGTGCTGTTTTTGGCCTCTGAATTTTTCTGAGCATTTTGAATGGGATTTCACTGATTTCACCCTCTAGCCTTATAATACTTACAGGGGCTTCAAAAAATGAAATATGGGAATAGAAGTGTAGGTGGGATAGCCTCTGGGAATATCCTCTGCTGGGGTGCGGTAGAGGTTGCAAATAGATACAATGATATTTTTTCACTCCATCAGCTGGGATATGGGCCCCTCTAACTACGGAAAAATATATCCACTTATAACTGGAACTGCACTTCCGAGTGGTGCCATGGAACATGGCTTGTTTGAAAGGTAAACCATCCGCATACAGGGTATCCGCTGGTGAATGGCTGTCACCCTCCGGAAATCAAACATGGCTGCCTGAGAAATCCCCATTCAATGGCTCAAATGGGAAAAATCAGCTGCTATGGACGGGGCATTGGCAAAAAATCGTTGATTTTCCAAGATAGAGCTATGGGCTATGATCGTATCCATGTTTCATTTTCCCTCCCAAATGGCGTAGTAGACCTATTGTTGGGTAAAACACATTCTCCTGGGATTTACATGTGAACATATGGGATTTGAGAATATTTGAGATGCGTTAAATTGGATTGATTAGTATTGATTGCTGTTTCAGCCATATATGTTTTGGGTTTTGGTGGATGTTATCAAAGGAATTATATTTTGTCATATGTTCTTCGCATTTTAATCCTCATTTTTTCATCAAGGATGGAGGATCAAGCGGATCCTTTGCCTTCTGGGAATCTAACCTGGCCGGCAAGTTCAAAGATTGGAATTTACCATCATAGAACCCATGGACCCACATATATATATATATACCCATACTGCAAATACACACATATATATATATAATATAATAGAATAATATATATATATACATATATATATATATACATATATATATATAATATAATGTATTATATATATAATATAATATAAAATAATTTAATATAACATAATGTAATATAATATAATATAATATAAAATAATATAAATAATATAATATAATATAACATAATGTAGTATAATATAATATAATATAGTATAATATAATATAATATACTATAATATCATATAATATAATATAATATAATATTATATTATATTATAAAATATATATATATATATATATATATAAAATGCAGGTGATCATCCACTTTGCGATCACTGCTTTAATTTTGGGGTCACTCCATCACCTATCCAAGTGTTACCCCTTTGAAAGTGCACGTGGCAATAGAAACATGTACATGTGTTTGCTTTGGTGGGTTTCAGGCTAGGCTATCAGAGGCTAGGATTTTCTTGGTGGATTTAGCCTACAGGTAGTGCCCGGCCTGGGCCGGGGCGGACGTTTCGAAAATACAGCATGGCTATAGGAAACCAGTTGTCTACAGTGTTTTTTTTTGCGATGCAGAAGCGATGAAGTGTTGAAGTTGTGAGGTGCGTCAACGAATGAGCAAATGGTCGTTGATATGCCAATGAAATGTCATGAAAGAATCCGGGCACAACTGAATGAATGAACCAATGAACCAATGAATCGATGAACCAATGAATCAATGAATCAGTCAGTCAATGACTCAATGAAGCAACGAAGTAATGACTCAATGAACCAAGCAAGCAGTGAACGAATGAATCGATGAATCTGTGAATCAATGAATTCATGAATGAATGAATGAAAAGAACGAACGGACGAACGAACGAACGAATGAATGAATGAAATGAATGAAATGAATGAAATGAATGAAAGGAAATGAAAGAATGAACGAAAGAAATGAATTAAAGAAATGAATGAATGAATAAATGAATGAATGAATGAAAGAAAGAAATGAAATAAATGAATGAATGAATGACTGAATGAATGAATGAATGAAAGAAATGAAAGAAATGAATGAATGAATGACTGACTGAATGAATGACTGAATGAAAGAAATGAATGAATGAATGAAAGAAATGAAAGACATGAATGAATGCATGAATGAATGACTGACTGAATGAATGAATGACTGAATGAAAGAAATGAACGAACGAATGAATGAATGAAAGAAATGAATGAATGAATGACTGACTGACTGAATGAATGAATGAAAGAAATGAAAGAAATGAATGAATGAATGACTGAATGAATGAATGAATGAAATGAAAGAAATGAAAGACATGAAAGAAAGAAAGAAAGAATGAATGAATGAATGAATGAATGAAATGAAAGAAATGAATGAATGAATGAATGAATGAATGCCTGAATGAATGAATGAATGACTGAATGAAAGAAATGAATGAATGAATGAAAGAAATGAAAGAAATGAATGAATGAATGAATGAATGACTGAATGAAAGAAATGAATGAATGAATGAATGAAAGAAATGAATGAATGAATGAATGAAAGAAATGAATGAATGAATGAATGGCTGGATGAATGAATGAATGAATGACTGAATGAAAGAAATGAATGAATGAATGAAATAAGTGAATGAATGAATGAATGAAAGAAAGAAATGAATGAATGAATGAATGATTGCATGAATGTAGTAGTGGGTAGATGAACCGATGAATCAGCAATGACTCAGTGAATCAATGGGGCATTGAACCGACGAATCGTTGAACGCTGGTAGGGTGAATCAATGACTTAGCGAATCGGCCATTCAGTGAACCAACTAATCAATGAACCACTGCACGAGTGAACTAGTGAGTCAACGAATCAATGAATCAATGGCTGAGTGAATGAGCTAGTCGATGAACCAATGAACCAATGAATCACTGATTCAGCGAGCCAATGAATCAATGAACCAATGAATCCATGAATCCATGAACCCATGAATCACTTAACCAATGCATCAATGAACCAATGAACTAAGGGATGACGAAGGGATGGATGAATGAATGGATGGATGGGCGAGCTACTTTTCTTTGTTGAGCTACTTCTTCACTGAGCGACCTCTTTGCTGAGACACTTCTTCTCTCAGCTGCCTCCCAGCTAGCTTTTTTGTAGCTTCTGCAATGCAAATCTTCTCTTCATGCAGCTGTTACAATAGCAGCCTCCAGCTGCAATCCCGCATAGCACAAGAGTAGCACTATGGTCAAGAGCTACCTTCCGCGCAGCTCGTACAACCCGTTTAGCAACCTCCAGCTGCAATCTCGCTTGCCAGGAGCGTCGCAGCATCAGTCATGCTTTGCCGTGCGGCCGCGCCACTGCGTTTTGTCACAGCCGGGCGCAAACGCGTATAGCAGGAGCGTCCCACCAAATCGACCAACGTTCGCGCAGCGCTGACATTGGGGACTTGACCGCGCAAATCTGGCGCCGCTCCGATCCCCCCATATTGCGTAAAACCAAGATCTCGCTATAGTCTCGCGCATATTTTGCCGACCTATGCCGACCTCCTCCTCAAAAAGTGCCCCGTCCCAGGCAGTTTGCGATTTTGAAGTGCAAATCGAGCTCTCGCTGCAGTCCTGTGCACTTTTTGTCGACGACTTTCCCAGATCGAGCCCCGAAAGGCCCCAGAAACCGTGGAAACAGAGAGCCTATACTTCGGCGACCGCAGAAGCCACCTTACCCGCGCACGCGTTCCCGAACTGTTGCACTTCCCAGCTACTTGATGATGGGTGGTTGACATGGTGATGTGGTTGACATGATGGTGGGAATGGTAACCATGACAAACCTCCGGAATTCGGAAGTTAAACTAAACTTCCTGTGAGATCCTTTGGGTGTGTTTATGGAATTCACGACCGTGATCATGACAGGAAGTAGGATCCCCATCCCCTCCAAGGTGATTCAGTACGTCTACACCCTGGCTTTCACGGTCGAGATCTTTTTCCGTATAGGGGCAGAATGGCACGATGGATGGACGTGCAGGGGTGAAGATCGTGCTTGGAATTGTTTCGATCTCTTCATTGTGATGGTGGCCTGGTTTGAGGCCAGCTTGGGCCGGCTTGGTTGGGTCCGTTGGGTCACTTGATGAGTTGCGGAGTCCGGTGTTACCTGTGTGACCCTCGGAAAATTGAGAGCTTGCGACGCCATGAAGCGAACAAGTAATTGTTGGCATCCAAGCACCTTGCAATCCCATCCCCACCTAAAAGACTGCAGAAACCATGATTTTGAGATTTATCATTGACCTATTAATCCATGTTTTGGGGCCCTTGAAATAGCGATAAATCACTCCTATACCTGATTTAAACCAGGGAAATTCCATGGAATCTCCCTGGGAATTTGGAGATTCCTATGACTTCCATCCAATCCATTGGCTTCCGCGCTAGGTCTCGATCGACGTGATCCACGCCACCACGGATACCCAAATGGACAGCATCGCAGGGGTGTCGAGCCTCAGAGCTTTTCGGATCATCCGCCTCACAAGACGCTTGAAGCGATGTAAAGACCATGTCATGTGGGAAGAGGGTCAAAATTAAAAAACCATCAGGAACCAAGTGATTTAGATAATGGATTTGTCTATTTGTAGGACATTAACCATCCAATTGTATCCAATTATCAAAATGAATTTGTTTTTTATTTAGGACAAACACCATCCAATTATTGGGTTGCCCAATTTTGATCACATGTAAAAGCGTGTGCACTCCAGTAAACATAACATACCTATGAAGAATGGATGAACATGGCACATCTATATCTTTTATTGCCCACCAAAAATTGGTGATTTCCGTAACCACGTTAGTTTACCAGAGGGTAATGTGGTAAGCCCGATGCTAATCCATTGGGGGGTCGTAACAAAAAATCATCCCAAAGAACGGGGCAAACCCGATTTATTATGGCATCGCGTTTGCCATGGTTTACCTTTTCTACAAATGGGATGTCTATGGATGTTATTAGTATATTAGTGAAAATTGCTAGATTGAACACATTGGGAAATATTTAATTATAATATGTTACATATGTTATAATTATTTGGGCGAATGTGATGCCCAGATGAAAACGAACCTTCTGGTTTGACGTCTAAGATCAGACCAAGTCTAAAATGGATCCGCAACCAGAAGACGTCCGGAGTAACAAAACCGATCAACATCGATTAACATTGGACTCGTGGAGAGAGAGGGGGGGAGAAAAACAAACAGAGGGAAACACAGATATGCGGTCTTTGATGTTTGTCCTTGTGTTTGTTGCAGCATGTTACAGCGATTGACATGTCAATGTTCGTCATAGGTTTCCATGTTCCTGCCTGGGATGTTTGCAATGTTCCCATTTGGTGTGACCTGTTGGGTTCGATCGAAGCCGCCAAACAACTAGGAGAACACAATCACATGTGCATTGGTTTGTGGCCGTTGGAACCCAATTTTTCTTTCTTACTTTTGGTTAGATTCTCACTTGTAAGTCTTCGCTTTGCATGGGAATGAAATGGAATGAAGTCGGTACCGGTACCACTTTGAAACCTGTCAACAAGAGTGAGCCATGAGCGGCCAACTTTCCCGAACTGGTGAAGCAGGTGAATACGTGGCTAGTGCGGCAAGATATGGCAAGAAATTTGCCTAATATATAATTTGGAGCACATGGGTGACATGGGGACCTGTACACGTGACCAAAACCTGGATGAGTATGCGGGGACCCCATGAATGAACCACTACTGGAACCTCACACACTTGCTCATGAATGGCAAACGCCCAAAATCTTGGTTCTTCAGGTATGTTTGCTAGTCACCTCCCAATTTAACTAAGCTGGATTGGTTTAAGGCATTTCCAACTGGAGTATTTTGCTTCATTTAAACTGGTAGGTATCATCCCAAGTGAGTAGGGCATTTAAAGACCCGATTCTCGTGTATGTCTATCCAAGATATCTACACATTTCTGGGTTTTGTTGATCAGAATTTGATCAGACATGATCAGATCATTGAACCGCTCATGTCTTGTTTTGTTCCATCATTTTCTATCCTATATCATCCTATACCCATTCTAACTTGCCAAACTTACATGTTCCATAGATGACAACGCACTGTATATCCATTCTTTGTTGACGAAATGCCATTCATCAGTATTGATCCATTCTTTAGCAACATGGTGCCCATGGGTGGCGATAGCTACATAGCAACCCGAGAAACGATCGACGATCAAATGAGCCTACCAAAATAAGTATATATATATAGACAAAATTAAGACATAATGTATACTTATATTCTTGTTTCTTGGGTGATCTTTTATTTGAGGGACTATTCTTGCCATGGAAAATTATGAACTTATGCAACTCATGGGAATAACCCGGATGCAAGACATCCTGAAGACGGCGCAGGTCATCCGCGTCTTGCGCTTCGTGATGGCGCTGCGAACACTGGTGCCTTCAAGTTGAGAGTGGAATTGGGAGGGTCTTGAGCCTCTGGAAAGGCTATGATGGCCATATTGGGCGAGGATATGAGGAGGAATATGGCCCAAAACATACATGCCTCATGCTTGGCAATAAGCCCAATAAGCTGGAAACGGGCTTTAGTCTTCAATTGCCAGGCGTAACTACCGGCGGACGCGGCTCGGCAGGTCACTTCCATTTTGTCCACACTGAAAGCTGTATTTTGGGCACTGCTGCTGCTGTTTCTGATCATCTATATATTTGCGCTGCTCTTCACGTGCCCTGGTCAAATGCGAAGGTTCCGGATGCAGCTGCACGTGGGGCCATCAGTGAACAACAAGATGATCAGTTGCGCAACATTACGCCATGCTGATGACTACATCCACATCATGCATGAGCGTTGTTTTGTGAGGGGACTTATGAGGAGTTGGGGCCCGTATACAACAAGCCTAGCAGCACACCGGGATGCACAGCTGAAGGTGGACCTAGCAGGTCTGGATCATTTGACGTCAAAGATTGCCTTTTTGCAGGTCCCACATTGCCATCGGTCGGTTCACTGGATAGATTCGCCGGAACATCAAACTTTACAGGGTTGCCTCAGTTGATGTCCCGTCAACCACTGACATGTTGCAGCCATTTTTTCAGCCGTGTTCAACATGCTAAACATTGCTCAACCGAGGCAAGCGGTGGATGAATTTATCTTCAAGGAAAATAAAATTGATCAACTGACCCCAGAGGAGGCCAGCGCGTCGGATCAATACTTTGGCACCTTGCAGCTCGGCAGTGCGACCCAATTGGTCCAACTGAACTTGCGCAACGAGATAGTTACCCCCCAGCCACCCGGATGTTATAATTGGAATATAATTGGATGATATTTACTTTATATTTCCAGGTGTCCGATGTTTCTATCCTTTTGGTGGTTACTATCCTTTTTGGTTGGGCCAACTTGCTACCACTTGTAAGCCGGGTAGGTTGCTCACAGATCTCCACCGTCCCGCTTTCTCACTGGGTTGGTTTTGAGGAAAACCCATCGAAGACCAATTGAAAACCGAACCTAACGGCTACCATTCGTTCCCGATAGAAATGTATATCGCCCCCCAAGGATGCCGGGGTGCTGGTATCCCCATTTGATTTCTCGCCACAAAAATGGTTGGTTATGAACCCAACAACGTTGGTTACCTCTTCCATCAATCATTGTAAATCACATTAAATCAACATTTTGCTGGTTAAGTTATATCATATCCTATGAAATCGTTATTTCTGCCACATACATAATTGCCGTGAAATCAGTATCTCAATATCTCCAAGTGTCCATCCCACCTATCCACATGATATTCTGATCAGTTTCAATCAAGTCACAATTCTTGCAGGTGAAATCCCACGTGAAATCCCATCAAATCACCATAGCTCTGTTGGTGAACTCCATCTCAGCATATCCAGGTTTGTCTCCGCGATGTACCAGTTTTGTTGGTTAAGTGCCCTTAACTCTCCATTTTTGTTTTGGTTAAATCAATGCAGTGAATCTATTTCAACGCATTAAACAGCAACTTAATTAAGTCCCATTCAATCCTAAATCTTGTTGATGAACTACCAGTATCTCACCCAATTTCTGTTGATTAACCACCACAAAACGATCCAGCATGGATTTATCTCCCATTTTCACCATCCAATTCTTGTTAACCATGAATCAACGCAGCATTTTTCGTGGCGTTTCAAACATTTTCAAAGCCTAAAGCCACAGGTTCCACAGCATGCTGACCCTCTTCATGAGCATCGCTGGGGGCGTGAGTTGGGAGGATGCCATTGCCCCATTGATGGCCATCTCGACGGTGTGGCTGCTGGCGTTCCTGTTCTACGTCTCGTTGCTGGGACGACCGACCCAAAAATTGATGGCCGGATGGATGTGGATGGATATGTCCATCCCTGCGTTAGTATATAAATATATTATATAATATGCGCATATACACATACAATCATATATATAGATATATTGCAATGTCTTCTGTTATATATGCATGTTATAATGAAATAATGTCGAATTGAATGCAGCAGATGGTAAATACAAGCACACATAATCACACATATACATAAATTAACATAAATAAACATAAATGATATAAATCAATAAACAGAGCGCACGCACACATATACACACATACATTACATTACACTACACTACACTACATGTACTTTACAATTGCATTACATTTACATTACATTTACATTACATTTACATTACATTTACATTACATTTACGCTACATTTACACTACATTTACACTACATTTAGATTTTAATTACATTTCATTTACATGACATTTCCATTACATTTCCATTACATTTCCATTACATTTACATTACATTTACATTACATTTACATTACATTTACATTTACATTACATTTACATTACGTTTACATTACGTTTGCAATACATTTGCATTACATTTGCATTACATTTGCATAACATAACGTACAGACATACAGACACACAGACACACAGATATATATAATTATATATATATGCCGTTTTTATTTTCCTCAATGGATTAGTTCATGCATGCCTGTCGTCTCTTTCCAGCTAAGCTGATGCCTGCCAGCAAGAACTGCCGCTGCTCCGGGCAAACCCTCTGGACGCCCTAGCAACAGCTCGGGATAGCTCGGGTAAATAGCAATCCTCCAGGGTATATGTTTGATTTTTCACGCTGACCTCCTGATGGTTGATGCAGGCCTTGCTCGCTGCTGTGTAAAGTGATGTAAAGTGAAGCGAGCTGCGAACGACTTATTGGCACGGGGTGTGTGGAAAAATTAAAGAAGTGCCTGGCGCTGCTCAGTCCATGCCAAGCCTTCAGGAGGAATTTGGCAGCTTGCAGGTTGCTGCAGTCAGTTCAGCGCGTTCGGCCCTGCAATCAGTCCAGTGCACGTCGTTCAGAGCGCCCGCGCAGAGCCATTCAACCAGGTGGGCGCTCGCAAGCCATGGCGTCCCGACCAGCTTGCACCGCAATGTGGCATGCGCTTGTGTTGTGGCCATATGGACCAAATTCTTGGCGGATCTACTGTGCCGGCTGTTGCTTTTTGCACGCTTCCCGAAAGATTTTTCCGAAGTGCTCCAAGAGCAGTTGATGGAACGCAAGAGAGACACGCAAATGGTAAGCGTGGAGGCAGATTTGCGTGCAGACATGACTTGTTATATATCAGCTGCGCTCTTCCTGCCGCAGTTTCCATGCGCCCGCCGAGCAGTGTAAACTTAAACGGCCGAAATGCAGAACGATAGACTGTGGTGGTTCACTTGTACGTCTTGTAGAGCTTGTGGGCATGGCGAAGAACGCGTCTTATGAAAGTGCATGAAAGTGCCAGGGAGGCTGACCTGATTGGATTGGACGGGGTCCTGAGGAAAATGTTTTCCATGATCCATGCGTTTTTTACCAACCGCAGCACGGCTTTGGAACCGGGAACCGCTGAAACTGTTCCATGGATCATCATGGATCTACTGAATCTACTACTTGGATACGTGGTACTCTTGACTAGAAGATGGAGTCGTGGTGTGGGTCATCTCCTGAGCACCTTCGTTTGGACCTGACGAATTGGGCGCTCTTTGAATGTTCACCTGCATGCTTCCTGTCGAGTCTAGACTATATTGACCTTCCTTCTGATCACAGGTATCATGTGTTGCACCACGGGACCCATGGTGCAAACAAATTGGGATGGTGTCATCATTTGGCATCGCAATATTCCAGTTGAAAACCATTGGCTTGCGTCCCGAGTCTGCATGGCTCACAGTATGCCGCACGCCTTGCTGATTGGCAGATAATTAGCTCTATAAAAGGCTATATATATATACATATGTATATATACACATTTGTGTATATATAATGTATATCTATATATATATATATATATATATGTGTGTGTGTATGTCTATATGTAAATATCTATATATACATATATATGTATATATATATATATATCTATATGTGTGTATATATATATATGCATTCTTTGGACTGCGGCTGCTGACCACTATGGCATGCAGAGTCTGTGTTAGCTGGCTGGGTGATATAATGGGGTAAAACTATTATTATGCAATATTGTGCATGTGGATTGATGTGTTTCTGGGCATCTTCCCAGATGTAGACTTGGGCAGACGGAAAGCAAAAATTATTTTTGGGGACCAATATAGACATTTTCTTGGAGACCCACATTTGATCTTGGAAGGTCGGTGGGGCTTCCCTTTGCCCTTGTTTCTTTTGGCTTTCACGGGAAGTGGGCCAAGGGCAGCAAGCACCACATAACGCATGGAAAGGGAAATCACAATGAGCATTACGTAGGGGTTATGCAACAATCTTTTGCCGTTTGCTTCAATCTTTGTAGAGGATGCCAGGGGCTCAACCAAAAAATCCTTCTGTTCTATGCCGCTTGCATTGTTTACGCGGCCAAGGTTTACCTACTTTGCGGTATTAAATGTAGTATCTTGGCTGCCTTTGGACAACCAGCAGGTTGGCAGATTTGTCTTTTGAATCCATTGCAGGGATTTCAGCCACCAGATTCCAGGCATTTCAAATAACCTTGTTGATCGCTGGTGCAAGGTCACAGCAAACTTCTGAACGACGCCCCCCCCCCCCAGAAGCATGAGATGTTTAATGTTGGATGCTGATTAGTGTAGGGCACCCCAAACAATTTTAGTCTATCCAATAGCTCCGCATTTTCTTGGGGACCAAGTCTGGGGAACACAGGATGATGAACTTAAGTAAGGATTTCAATTGAAACCAATCTAGGTTCAATTGCTTTTCCTTTTAAACATTAAAAGAAATCTGCTGGTAAGACATGATTTCCATTGAAATCAACCTACTTTCAAGTGTTTTTCCTTTTAAACCTCACAAAATATATTGATAAGAACGGATTTCAATTGACATCAACCTATATACGTTCAATTGCTTTTCCTTTTAGACCTTAAAGAAATCTACTGATAAGAAATGGTTTCAATTGAAATCAATCTACTTTCAATTGCTTTTCCTTCTAAACCTTTGGGGCATCTAATTATTTAGGGAACCTTGCATTTTAAGATTAAGGATTTACAATGCATATGGCTTTCTGAAGTAAATGGACAAGCTTTACCCAAAGAAAGGTGTATAAAGTGGACAAGCTCCTCCTGAACAATTTGGATCTGAGAAAAGAATATCACAATAGAGGCCCACCACCACCACTTGGAGGATAGTCATTAATCTTTGAAAAATCTCATAATAGGGTCCCATGACACTAATCGGTATTCAGCATTATTCGGGATGGCCTCCTACACCGTGGTCCTTTCCAATGGCCGGGTGAAACTAGGACTTGGATGACCTATCCCGGTGGGCCCTTCGAATACCATTGCATTGTACTGACTTGAGGGTAGTTCAAAAACGAATTGCTCAAACCCTGGACAACAGTGTGCGACATGTGCATGGTACAAACTACATCATCATCATCATCATCATCATCATCATCATCATCTTCTTCATCTTCATCTTCATCGTCATCATCATCGTCATCGTCATCGTCATCGTCATCGTCGTCATCATCATCATCACCACCATCATCATCATCGTCATCATCATCATCATCATCATCACCATCATCATCATCACCATCATCACCGTCATCGTCATCGTCGTCATCATCATCATCATCATCTTCATCTTCATCTTCATCTTCATCGTCATCGTCATCGTCATCGTCATCGCCATCGTCGTCATCATCATCATCACCACCATCATCATCATCGTCATCATCATCATCATCATCATCCTCATCATCATCATCATCGTCATCATCATCATCATCATCCTCATCCTCATCCTCATCCTCATCCTCGTCGTGGTCTCAAAGTTTGATGGCTTGGCTTGTTGTTTGGCTTGTTGCTTTGTCCTCTTGGCATTTCGGCGGCCATTGGTCTTCATTTGCTCACTTCACTCGTTACCTGGGGTGCGATGGTTTCATTCGTGCCTTTGGTGGCTCGGCTGCCTGGAGCGTGGTTTCGTCCGTGCTTCGGGTGGCTGGCTCCGGGTGGTGGTTGGTTCCGTTTGTTTTTCCCCCTTCTTGGTTTGGGGTGGTTGTGGTTTCCGCGGCTCCTTCTGGGCAGCGGCCTCCTTGCTGCGGTCTGCTGCGGGGGCAGTTTTCTGCTCCCCAGCGCTCATGCGCTGTCTACTTGGGGTCAGTTCATGGATAAAGTGATGATGGAACGGCCAGGTCACTGGCGTGTTCTGTCAAAGTGCTATAGAATCCGCACAACAAGATCGCGCAGCGGTTGTGCAGTCCATGCTGGAAAACAAAGAGGCGCTGGACGACAAGTGGTGGGACAGTTGGGACGGGCCGGCAGCAGGTTGGAACTATGTTACAATGTTTGGGAAGACTTCAGGATATTCAAAACCAACGGGAATTCAACAATTTGAAAAATCACCTATACTTTAATTTTTTGGTCAAAATCTTGGGATTGAATCTTGGGTTTGGGGCCGAACATGGCACGGGTTGGTGGTGTTTCAATTGAAGACAGGCGGGAAAGGTTTTTTTTTTGCAACGGCAAGATGCAAGCAAATTGTTTTCGCATTGGTTGGTTTGGGAGTTGAAACCAACAATCTTTTGGTGGAAGTTGCGACTTACCCGTTGTTTCTATTGTTTTTTTTGTAGATGATGTAAACAGAAAAAAACATTGCAAGGTGATGGTTGGTGGTACCCTCAATCGCCAATCCAGTGAAATTTGGTTTGGTGGGTTCAATGTTGCATCCAGCACTGACAGGCATTGCCTCAGAAACGGTCAAATTTGAAACAAAAACCAGTCACGTATGAAAGGGTCAATTTCAACTACAAATTTTGATGGTTCAGTAGCGTTCAGTACAGATGATTCTTTTAATGTTTCCTCATTTTCTTTTTTGAGTGGTTCCCATTTATCACATATTGTTATATGGGGGTGTCCATAAATGGGGCATCCCAAACTGGTTGGTTTATAACGGAAAGACCCATTAAAACCAAATTTCAAGTATTTCAGGAAACCCTCATATATAATACCATCCATTCATCAGCGAAATCACCGGAATTCATTTTCATGGTTTCAGGCTGGTGATCCATCCGTATGAATTGGAAATCACATGTTTTTTTTAGATTTTTGGACCCAAACATAGATATCTAACATATCTCTAACATTAAAATACATTAAACAATGTTTTTTTCTTTGATGCCAAAATGGAGTGTATATATATATATTATACACCAGATATCCAATTAATCAGAAGTGCGTGTACAATTAAAGGAGATATTTTTCTGCAACAATTCTAAAAATACATGGGGCCCTTTGAGTCACATGGTGATCCAGGCGCATTTGTCGAAGATGCGCGCCGTTTTCAGCGAGATCCGCGAGAACTCTCCGAGCAACGCCGAGGGCGACGAGGCGATTACCTTTGCCATGTTAGAAGAGAAGATCAACTCACCCACGGTGCAACAGCTGTTGGAAACCTTGGGTTTCTTGGATCAAAATTTAAAATCATCAAAATGTAAGGCCCATGGGACCGTTCATGGGGGTGTGCTTAATGTTTGACCTCTAGCCATAAAAGTGATTATAAGTTGATGGATGAATGAACATTTGGCAAAAGGTGGTGAGAATATGTGTGAAGATAAGTTTCTGATTGCAATCCTTTACTATATTATAGGGATACATACTCTGCAATGACCTGTGTTTGAAAGTTCAACGTTGATGAATCATTCTTCCCACACATCCTCCGGGCGTCACAATGTTTCACATACTGTAGATTAATTCCCAATTTTGGGTAAGTGTATATAAACAGAAATTGAAACACCATTGAAAACTGTGGTGAAGACCAGCGGGGCAGATCTTTTCTTAGGTTTTGGAGATTCCGAAGGCTGACTGCTTTCTTAGGTTGCTGTCAGAGAGGGCCCACATTTGGTCTAAGTGGATGTTTAAGTGGCTTAACCTTTGTGATTTCCATATATTTCCATGCTTACCTGGGATGGTCAATTCCAGTTAGCTACATTTTAGCTACTATTTTCAATGATTTCTTCACGGGTTGAAGCTGAAACCATCCGAAGCCGTTCCCAGCCTCGCTGACTGTGTCCGATGGTCCGATGGCTAAGGTTTAGATGTTTGGGATGCTTGGTCTTTCTTTAAGCTACTTGATACCGATGGGGGCGGTTCAATCGAACTTGAGGAGGGCCCGGGGCGGCCCCGGTGGGAGCCAAGACCTGGTGGCTGGAATGGTGGTGGAAAGCCTGCTTGCAGGTGAAAAGTGAGAAGTGTCCATTGTGTGTTTTCCTCATGACTTGATTTGTAGATGTTCAATGATGTTCAATTCAATTGATAAAGATCCAGTCTCGGATTAATATATGCACACGCTATATGTACATATTTATGGGGGTTTCCATACATGGGGGTACCCCAAAATGGATGGTTTAGAATGGAAACTCCTATTATGATGGATGATTTAGAGGTACCACTATTTTAGGAAACCTCCATATATGTATAATATATATATATATACACATACAATATGTATGTATTTTTGTATCCAGCGCCATGCTTTCCACTCGTTGACCCTGCTGTTTGAATGGTGAACTGCTTCTTGAACCCCAAGTGTGGGTTAACCCAAAATTGTTGATGGCTAAGCTCCATGTTTGCCTGCAAATTTCTTACATGTCGATCGCAGATTCCTGATTCTTGTTCAAGATCACCACCTCTGTTGATGTGGGTTTTCCATGGGCTTTGCATGGTCTTTTCCAGACCAGATCGCCTGGTAGAGCCCTGCCAGGAGTTCTTCATGGGTTGCCTCAGACTTGGCGGAAACGCGCGTGGATTGGAGCTGGGGAAGGTCCTGCAGGACGTGTGGCTGGGTGGGGAGATGGAGATCCATGGCTTTCCTGTAAAATGATCCCAGAAAACATGGTTGTTTCCATATATTTATATTTATATTTTAATTTGTATATATATATATATGTATATAATTGACCGGATTTTGCTTTGGTTCAAAGCATTCCAATGGTTATGAATGGCACCATTCTCGGTAGATCGGATATTTTCAGGGGGAAATATCTACTTCACGGGGAACATGGTCACTGCTTTTTTTTCCAATCTTGACAGCCTGACAGCGTTGACGACGCTGACAGGACCAGCAATGGCTCATCCGTAGCCAGGGCAAATTCCAAAACTTTGTAGAGATGGAACTGTCACAAATTAACGAGGCCGTGACGCGTGACTGGGAAAGGGTTCCCTATGCCCCCAAATGGTTGGCCTATTGGAAGAGTTGAAGGCTTAGTGTACATATGTCTACATGATTTTGCTGCGGAACATGTGTCGGAAGCGTTCCTAATGCGTCATTTGGGATGATGATCTGATCTCCCCATTGACTCATATTGTGGGGGTGCTGGGATGTGATTGGAACCATGATTGTTGACCCTCTGAGATGGCGATGGAGAGAGAGAGAGAGAGATCATGATTGTTGCCACATGAAAGTTGGTTGGTGCTGTTTCAGCCCAGCCCGAGACAGCCGATTGTCACGTCCGTATACTTTTTGAAGCTTGTGCCGCTTAACAGCGGGACCTTGGGTGCAAGTGTGTGTGGGCACAGTTGCAAACCAGCAATGAGAGGATACTCGCCAACGCATGTGCATGGTATACTGTCTACGTAGGGGGCAAAGATGGCAAAACAGTCTGCAGCCATGAAGAAACGGCTCCCATTCTTGAATTGGATATGAGAAACCAGGAAGACCACAACCCAGACAGCCTGGTGGATTGTCCTTTCGCTGTTGTAAAATGTGGATAGGATTCGGACGGTAACTGGCTGCCCCCATGCAACTTAAGATATTAGAATCTCACTTGAGAAAACAGGATACCTCCTCCATTTGCACAAGAGTGTTCATTGCCATGTTTGATTATCCGTGAAAATTGGCTTGTCTCATGTTGCATTTTGCATCGCCAGATCCAAGTGACTAGTTGAGGTCCTGTACCAAAAAAGTCACAAAAGGCCAGGATGTTTGCAGTTGCACCCCATTACATAGGCCTATAGACCGTAGATCTTACATAGACTTCATGCATCCTATCTACAGAGATATATCCAGGTCATGTGTTGGACCCAGCAATAAACTATACCCCATTTGCCACAAAAATCATTCGAGGGGGTATTGAAACCATACCTCAACAATGGTGGTTGTCACTTCATCTCACTTCCCAAATTTCATCAGTTCTCCCTTGAGGCAATTTGATCATCAGCCACTTACTGTAGATGGGCCACCGAGTATCTCAGTTGGTAACCTATGAGATGCCCAGTTACAAGGGGTTACTAACCAGTTACCCAACTCCACGGCCTGCCTTAGTTTCCACTATATATATATATACACACACACGCGCACAATCACGCACATATCTTGTATACATTTAGCATTTTTCATGTAATTTACAATGTATTTGCATAATCTACTTTAATCATATTTTGATCATATCCATACCATCCATTATATACATATACTCATCTTGTATGTCTCTATATGTATTGACAGAACAGGGAGATCGACAGGTCACCATGGATTTCTAAACTCGTCGTTCAGAGCGGACTTGGATGATTTCAGCCAAAAAAAATGGTCGCATTCTGATTGTCAGGCTCTGAACTTCATCCTGGCAACGAATTCACGAGAATCCCGCGAACCGCAGACCAAAGATCTCTGAGACGACTCGAACGCCTGGATCCGAAGCCACACAGAATGGAATTCATGGGGTTTCACGAAGAAACATCGTGATTTCACCAACAAACGTGAGGGTTGAACCATCAAGAATGGGGGATATTACATGATTTAACATGGTTTGAAAGGTTTTGGAATATCCAGTTGAGGCTTGTCAAAAGGTTTTAAGCTTAAATTACTTCATGTTTATCCTGATAATTTTTTGTGCTTCTCAACATCGGGGTGCCCCAGAACCATTGCTTTCCCTGTCATGATCAATGCTGGACATCTTGGGTCCCGACATCACAATGACGTCACCACAGATGCTGGGTAGCAACGGGAAGTATTCCAATTTGTCCAATTGAGCTTAATTCAGGTTGGTGAATTTGTATAGTTCAGACAGGATCATCCCAGGAATAGTTTCCTTTGGGTTTTTGAACCAGAATTTGCCTCGGAACTTGAAAGCATGAATGCCAGATCTGAAATCTGGTAGAGCCGGATGCAGGCAGAGCCAGTACCAGCCCCAGCTGGATCGGTAGAACCCAAGTGTGCAGCGATGCAAACCGTAGTGGCCCTGGATGCCCAGAAAACGAAGGATCGATGGGGATGTGGCTAACCTTCTCCCAGAAGTGGTTCAAGGCGGAATCTATTGATACCAATCAACCAATCCCTTAGAATTGATACATACTGGATCATACTGGCATAATGGTAATCGCAATGATCACAATATTCATACATTACATGACCTATTGATACGTATGGTAAGAGAATAACAACCTTGGGTAGCATCATCACCTAGTTTGGTGTCTTCCCTTTTTTTGCCCCCCAAAAATCGTGCTGAACGCTGCAAGACTTGGGGCATCGTCCGGAAAATGTTGGGCAAGATCTGCCCACCCCAAGGTGCGCACCATGTTGTCCCCAAATCGTCGTCTTTTCTTAGTGGCTGGTTATTGAATGGTAATTACAGTAAGAAACCAGTGCAATCAGGATTTAATTGTGGTTTAACCAACAAACATGATGATTCAATGGGATACAATGGAGGTATAAATGGATATAGGACAAACAATATATGATATGATGTATGCGTTTATATCAAAGTGGGGGAATTATACCCCAAGCAACAAATTCAAAAATTATTCACTGTGGAATATCGAGGGTATTTTCAGACACAGTCAATATAACATATATATGCAATTGACTTGCAATTGCCACACGTTCTGGGATGAATCAACATCTCAACTGCGACGACTTGCAACAATTTGCACTTTGAAAATCGACGGGGCCCCACTGGGCACGCGGGGAGTGTCGGCCATGTCTTTTCTGAGCAGAGTCCAGGACATAAGGAATCATCTGTCACACACTTACACTGCATAAAGTGGGTAAACCATGTTAATGCCATAAAATGCCATAAACCATGGCCCCAAGTCATCACCATTTTTACGGGTGGGATTCAAACCATCAGCAAATGGTAGTGGTTCATGGCATTGGGTTTCCCACCTATGAAGACCAGGGCGCCGTGCGCGAGAGTTTATGTATCCGGGAAACCGCTAAAGCCCATAAGAAACCATGCCCAATAATTGCAAGAACAACAGACTTTGGCAGGTCAAAAGGATACAACAGAAGAAGTTCCACATTCCCAACAGTTGGGGGTTTATTCTTCATGGCTCATCACATGTTTCTATCCCAAAGGAGCAGCTCCATGTCAGCAGCTTGGGACGCTGTTCATTTTTTGACCTGGTCTGGACAGGTTTCACAGCGACCCGAGGCTGCAAAAGCAGCCCCCCGGATTTCCGCGAAAAAGGTGCGGGCAGCACGGCAGCACCACAGCACTAGCTGAGGTTTTTGAACATAGTTATGAACTACAAGTAGACCTTTGAACGTAAAACCCGCACGAGGAGGGTGGCGGAAGTTTCCAGCAAGGAATATTGTACGCAAGTTTGATTGGCTGAATCCTGATGACAAAATTGTCTCATTCCTTCCCCGCAAAACTAAAATAGCTCCCGAGAGAAAACTGGAATTGTTCATTTTGAGGTCCTTTCTTTTTTAATGATTGGTCGAAGGGATTATTGGTTTCCCCCTTGACACTTGTCTCTATCCCGTTTCTGTGGGGCACAATTCGTGAGTTGGATTTCCCTGGTTTTGAATTAGTGAACCAACTGCGAGTTAACGACTAGCCGTTAACCGTGCGGGCAATCCAAGCTGGGAATTTGGCTGGCAACAGTTTTCATCCCCAAACGCTATTGTAAATAAGTACATGTATCTAATGTATAAGATTGACTAAGATTGCATATACAATTATATAATAATGTTATATATATATATAATATATACAATTTCGTTTTTGTTTTTTCATATGATATGTTTCTCCTGCAAAAAAACTCCGAATTGTCCAGCCATGACTGGTTCGAATGGCTCAAAGTGAGTTTTTTTTTTGGAAACCCGGAGCGGCTCCGCCTTGTTTGCCATGGGGGAAGACGTGGATGGTGATGACAAGGACGCATCTGCGCAATCAGACTGGGGTAAACTAACGTATATTAAGGCATGAAAAAATAGAAAACAAAATCATCACCATGTTTGGGATTTTGCACAATTGATCTTTTTGGGAATGATTTTAGATCAGATACAAACATCCACGGAGAAACCTCTTGGAACACAAGCAATCGGATCGGGATCCCCAAGAAATTCGTTTGAGAAACGTTCAAATGAAAAAAGAATCCTGGGTTGGTCCAAAAACTATAGCAAAAATTTGGTCATTCCAAAATCTCAGGAATTCTTGTGACTGGTTTATCTGGTTTCCTCGCACAAGAATTGCCATTTTGCGACATCCCCCCTTTTAACTGGAGGAACCCCAAGGATCAAGGACCAGAAAGGAAACCCCTCCAAGGTCTCCAAGTCCCAGAGCTTCCAGGAGCGAGGTGCGGTGCGGTCGTCCTTCATCACATTGATCGAGCATCAGCACCAGGAAGGGATGACGGCCGGGGGGTACCAGTACGGGAGATTTTAGGGGGGTCTGGAGAAAAACCGAGTGCTGTTGCTGGTACCATGTTCTTTGGTTGGCAGTTTCCCACCAGATGGATCCACAAGTGGGAGGACGAGATAGGATGTTTGCCCAGGTGGCGAACTTCGAAGTTGAAACCCAGCCTTTCATCCGAATTTCTGAATTCCCCAGCAAGATCCAGGAAACCATCCATATGCTCCAATTGCTCGACGACAAACTTGAGCTGCTTCGACGACCACTGAAGTCATACGGCTTCAATTCTGGAACCTCGGAGAAGTTTAAGAGCGGCGATTTGGAAAATGATGGAACATATATGAACATATATTTTTTCCTACCCATCTTGGAAAATGAAGTACGAATCATCCACATTTTTGGAGAGGCTCCCTCGCAACATTTTGTAGATAAACATCTAGGTTTATCTTCGAATTACAAGCAAATCCTGGGAGTTCACAAAATAATAAAACATAGAGACAAAAAAGGATTGATCTTAAAAACGAATAGGAAAAATATGGTGGACAAAAACCCGTGATTTTAACCTCCTATTTTTGTTTCTTGTTTTTCCTATATTTTTCTTATAATGGTTTTCCTATTTCCGA